ATCTGTCGATTTCTAGTTTTTTGATTTTTTCGTTTTTTGATTTTTAAAATTTTACGTTTTAAATTTTTCAGTTTTTCGATTTTTTAGATTTTCGAATTTTCGACTTCGATTTTTTAGATTTTCGAATTTTCGTCTTCGATTTTTTAGATTTTCGAATTTTCGACTTCGATTTTTCAATTTTGCAATTCTTCAGTGTTTCTTATATTTTTCAATTTTTCCATATTTCAGCTTTCATAAAAAAAAATAATTACAGATCGAGAAAAAAGCTTCGACTTTTCGATCTTTCGGTTTCCCGATTTTTAATTTTTGGAATTTTTAAATTTAAAATTTTTCAGTCTTTGTTGTTTCGTTTTCTCGATTTTTCGGGTTTTCGGTTTTAGAGTTCTCAGTTTTTTAATTTTTAGATTTAAAAAATGTCTGAATTTTCGGTTTTTAAATTTTTCGATGTTTCCAAATGTTGGTTGTATAATTTCTCCATTTTTGATTTTTCAATTTTCCAATATTTTGATGATTTTTTTCATTTAAATTTTTCAAGTTTTGAATTTTGAATTTTTAGATTTTTCGATTTTGGTTTATTTCGATTTCCCAATTTTTGGATTTTTCGACTTCTCTACTTTTCAATTTCTCGATCTTTTTTGGTATTTCGATTTGTCGATGTTTCAGTATTTGAATTTCCCCTTATTTGATTTTTCTATTTCCCGCTTTTTTCGATTTTTCGGATTTTCGATTTTTAGATTTTCCAATTTTTCGAGGTTTCAGTTTTGGAATTTTTCTATTTCTCTCAATTTGTTAAAATTTTAATTTCCTGATCTGTCGATTTCTATTTTTTTTTTCTTTCGTTTTTCGATTTTTTTAAATTTTACATTTTTGATTTTTCAGTTTTACGATTTTTTAGATTTTCGAATTTTCGACTTCGATTTTTGGACTTTCCAATTTCTTAGTTTTTCAATTTTTCGATGTTTCAGTGTTGGGATTTTTCAATTTTTCAATCTTCAGTTTTTCTTATATTTTTTAATTTGTTCAGATTTCAGCTCTCATAAAAAAACAATTACAGACCCAGAAAAAACTCGAACTAAAATCATCTTGGGATTTTTCAGTATTTAAATTTTTCGACTTTCCGATTTTTCGGTTTCTCGATTTTTTGTTTTTTCGAATTTAAATTTTACATTTTTTCTTTCTAAAATCCAAATTTTTCAGTTTCTCGATTTTTCGATTTTTCGAATTTTTAAATTTTAGATCTTTCAGCTTTTGATGTTTCGTGTTCTCGATTTTTAGAGTTTTCGGTTTTTTAATTTTTAGATTTAAACATTTTTGGTTTTTCGATATTTCGGTTTTAAATTTTTCGAAATCTCAGTTTTTCGACTTTCCAAATTTCAATATTTCCAAATGTTAGTTGTACCATTTCTCCATTTTTGATTTTTCAAATTTCCAATATTTTGATGATTTTTTTTTCATTTAAAATTTTTCAAGTTTTGAATTTTTAATTTTTAGATTTTTCGATTTTGGTTTATTTCGATTTCCCAATTTTTGGATTTTTCGACTTCTCTACTTTTCAATTTCACGATCTTTTTTGGTATTTCGATTTGTCGATGTTTCAGTTTTTGAATTTCCTCTTTGATTTTTCTATTTCCCGCTTTCTTCGATTTATCGGATTTTCCATTTCTAGATTTTCCAGTTTTTCGATGTTTCAGTTTTGGAATTTTTCAATGTCTCAATTTTTTTAAATTTTGATTTCCTGATCTGTCGATTTCTAGTTTTTTTGATTTTTTCGTTTTTCGATTTTTTAAATTTTACATTTTTGATTTTTCAGTTTTTCGTTTTTGCAGATTTTCGAATTTTCGACTTTCCGATTCCTCAATTTTTCCATTTTTCGATGTTTCATTGTTGGGATTTTTCAATTTTTCAATTCTTCAGTTTTGCTTATATTTTTCAATTTTTCCATATTTCAGCTTTCATAAAAAAACCAATTACAGATCGAGAAAAAATTCGAACCAAAATAATGTTGGGGTTTTTTAGTATTTTAATTTTTCGACTTTTCGATTTTTCGGTTTCTCGATTTTTTGCTTTTTCGATATTTAAATTTTACATTTTTCAGTTTTTGATGTTTCGTTTTCTGGATTTTTCGAATTTAGAATTTTAAATTTTTTGAATTTTCAATTTTTCCACTTTTCAGTTCAATTTCTCGATTTATCGAGACTTCGATGTTTCCACTCTTTAATTGTACAATTTCCACCCTTATTAACACCATTATTTATCTTTTTTTTGTTTTTTTCGTCTTTCTTTCTGAGGTGATTTTTTTGTATCCGGATTTACCGGTTTTTTTTTTGTCTTCTTTTTTTGCACCTTTTTTGAACCCCTTTTTATCATCTTTTTCCATCGTTTTTTCCCGTCTTTACTTCTATCGCTTTTTTAGCCCCTAATTTGTTTTGCTTTTTTTATTTATCCTTTCTTTTTGTCTTTTTTTGTCGTCTCGATTTTTTTGTAACTTTTTGAGTCGCTTTTTTGCCCCTTTATTAATATTGCGTTTTTAACCTCTTTTTTATTGTCCTTTTCCACATCTTTTTTTTTGCTTATTTTTTATTTATCTACTTTTTGAGGTGAATTTTTGTACCCGAATTTGCCGAGTTTTTTTTTTTTTTGGTCCTGTTGTTTTTATCCCTTTCTTATGCCTGTTTTAAACCCCTTTTTAACAACTTTTTCGTCATTTTTTTCCGTCGTTCTTTCATCGCTTTTTTTGCCCCCTAATTTGTCTTTTTTTGTTTTTCTTTGGTCTCTACTTCATACCCCTTTATGTTGCTTTCGTTTCTCTTGTTTTTTTAACTTCCTTTTTGTCCCCCCTTTTTCCGCATTCCTTTGTTCTCTCTTTTTGTCACTTTTTCTGTAACTTTTTTGTCCTCCCTTTTTTTACTCACTTTTTAGTCTTTTTTCGCCTTTTCGTCCTCTTTTGTAGCCTCTTTTCATTTTTTGGTCGCTTTTTTCCTTTTATCTTTACTTATTTTCTTATCGCCTTTTTTGTATATTTTTGCATTTTTGTTGTAATTTTTTTGCACATATTTAGTTGATTGCCCCTTTATTTGTCGGTTCTTCTTATTGCTTTTTTTATCCCCTTTTTTGTTGCCTTTTCCCCCCATCTTTTTTTCTCGCTTTTTTTATTAATGAACTTTTTGTTGCTTTTTTTTTGCCCGATTTTTTGTATCCCAGTTTCTTGTTTTTTTTTCTGGGTGTGTTATTTTTATCCTCTTTTTATTGTTGTTTTTTGTCGCGTTCCTTTGACCTACCTTTTTTCGCTTTTTTTAAATCCCCTTTCTTATTTTTTTGGCGTGTTTTTTACCATTGTCTTTTCTTTTTCCATTTTTTTCGCTTATTATTTTATGCCGTTTTTATCGCTTCTTTCTGTCGGCTTTTTGGTCGCCCTTTTTTTCGCCAATTGTTTAACTTAACGCGGGTTTTTTTGTTTTTTAATGCCCTTTTTTTATCAACTTTTCGTAGCTTTTTTGTCTCCTAATTTGTCGTCTTTTTTTGTTTTTTTCTCTGGTCGTATATTTGTAGCCCTTTTTCTTGCCGCCGATCTTATTTTTTAACCCACTCTTGTTTCTCCTTCTAACCTTCAACCCTTTTGTGTCTCCTCTTTTTTTCCAATTTTTTTTTTTTTTTTTTGAAGCCTTTTGACCCGTTTTTTTATTGCCTGTATTCGTTTCAACTTTTATCCACGTTTCATAACCCCAAGAGTACGAAACAATAGGTCTTCCATTTCTGTCTGTTGTCGGTCTTTTGTCAAATATTTTGTCTTTTTTTTAATACACATAGTATTCTTTGAACAACACGATACTCAAAAAAATTAATTTAAGTATTTTCCAGTTAAGCTCCGCCCTCTTGGTTCACGACGAATAAAAAAAATGATCACAATTGAGATAGGGTGGGTGGGCGGGCTTACATTTTGCCTTTTTGTTTTAATCTACATTGCTATCTTTTCGCAACATGAAACTTAAAACATGTTTAAAATGGAAAATTTGTATATGCAATATCGATTTTGCAATTAATTAAAAAAATAATATAACACCCATCCTAAACAATAGTTACTTACCCAAAATAATATTCAGAACATTTTGCTCCATTGTATTAATTTCGGTTGCTTCCATTTTGAGGACGCAGCTTCCTTAATCGTCGCATTCGTTCGATGTATAAACATAAACAATCGAAGTTAAGCATGATAATACTGTATTTTGACTTATAGGGGTTGTCAAAAAAAAAAAAAAATTGCATTTAATTTTTTTATTTCTTGAAGTTCTGTCTAACTTTTGACATTTTTTTAAATTAAATCCAACCATGCGACGCTCATGTCATTAGCTCTCATAAACAAGTTTAAGCATAATTAAAAATTCAATTGCGAGCACACATGTAAGTGCTAAAAATAGATAAACAATTTCAAAATCAATTTTCCTAGTATGAGGACACTTAATTATTACAACACTCATAATCGCCACTTTATAACAGAATCTAATCTCTTTCAACGATCTCATTAATGTTTGGAACGAGATTATCTTCGCGATTTTTGTGAACAATATCTGTTGTAGGAGTACTTTTTTATTGAAACACGTGTAGATAATTACGTTATTGCACGGATATTTCGAATAGATGCAGTAATCACGTGAAAGTCGCATGAACAACCTTCTTAAAATCCAGCGAAAACCTAGCGAATATGAAGGCTTTTTAGCAAAATTGTCTTCAAAATTTCATCGTTTCTACATTTAGATTGGGTTTTTGTGGTTATCGACCCATTGAGTAGTAAGACCAGAACAACCAAAAATAGACCATAGGTGTTTTCATGTTTATCAAATAAGAAACCTTTAATTTGATTTAGTGTGTTTAATTCAGTCGAACTGCAGTGGAATTTTAAACCAGTAATTAAAATTTGTTGTATAATGATCACACGTATGAAGTGAAAATTTTCCAAGTAACCGTAGCAAAAGTGCATTTAAAGTAAGAGTTAATTTTTTTAGACAGCAGCTCTCACGACTTTAAACCTACCTCGAACCCCGACGAGCCCAACTACAACAACTTATCCGACTACATCGAGCTCCTCTACGAAGGCATGTCCGAAAAAATCAAAGGTGCCCACTTGATCCAGCTGCTCGCCCGCGACCCCGAGAACCTGGACGCCTTATCAAAAAACGGTAACAACGTCTCCTTAGCGCTCAAAACCCATTAACTAATCCTCGCACCTCCAGAAACCGTAATCAGCGCCTTGGGCCGCGTCTTACGAGAAGACTGGAAACGCAGTATTGTTTTGAGCACACACCTGGTGTTTACCTTCTTCTGTTTTTCCATGTACTCACGTTTCCACGAGGTTATCCTCAAGTGTAAGGTAAGCAGAAGCGATAAAACCGCTTTTTTCCTCTCGGAACGCATCGACGCCTCGAAATCGGCTAGTTTTGGGTTATTGTTTCAAGGTTGCGCAAACTCTTGCACGGACTTACGGATTTGCTAATTATTGTTTAAATGTTTGGACAGGTGCGACGATTATGCAACGGATGATTTTCATCGTTAGAAATGAGAGTCCTTATATGGGCGCGCTCGCACGGGGACCATATAAGGTCGTTATTTCTCAATTTTTATCGGGAGCGAGGAGGGTTTAAGGTAAACAGAAGGAGGCTGAAATGTATTTTCAGTGATTTATATTTAGACGATACAAACATTGGTTCGATGGAGCGCGGTTACATCATGGTGGTCGTAAATTCGTCTGGGCGGATGAACGACACAATTGGTGGTTACGCAAAGAGGTTCGGCTTATTGTAACAGGGTCATCCAAACAGATGTACTAATGCGCAAGGACGAATGATGGTTTTAATTAGCGCAGAGGTATTAATAATAATAAAAAAACGGAGTCGGTGGTGTTAAATGTCACGTTAATTAATTAAAATAAATTAAACGACTCTCCGGTTGACACCAATAATTAATTAACGAATTTGACCGGTTCCATACTTTTTCTCTACTGTGTGGATTTTCTTTTTCTAATTACCGTAATTAGCGTTTACTAAAGTTTATTTATACGTCCCAGTGAGTTACCGAGGTTTCAAACGGGTTCGTTGGATACTTTCTAAGATAAATTATTACATTTTATCGTGTAATTTTGATTTTTTTTATAATCTATGTACATCAAGTTAAAATGAGGATGAATTACTAAACCGGATAAAGGAGCGCAATAATTTAAGTGCAAGTGAGAGTCAGTCGACAAAATGTTGAAGTGACGTCATCAGTTTTTTGTAGGACACTGAACGAAGTCAGTTTTAGTTGGTTTTTTACTAAACATTTGGAAGAAGTCTGTATATAGGTGTACCAATGGTCTGACGACTTTTGAAAAATTTCTTTCCAGCAGTCTAAAAAGCGAACCGATGGTTCACAAAAAATCACCCTGTATAAAATGTTATGAAATAAATGTTGCCACCAATTTTTTTGGAAGTTTTTTGAAAATTTTGCAAAATTATCTACAATTTGGCACTAATTTTCGGGCGATTGAACCAATTTGAAGCATTTTTTGGAAAATTTTTGGAAATTTTGAATTCGGTTTTTATACTTATTGGAACAGCTATCGTGTTGGTGATTTCAGATTTGTAACAGCGGAAGATTGTCTACAATTTGATATTATTCGATTAAGTCAATTTTAACCGCTTTTTCGGAAAATTTTTGAAAATTTTGGGATCACATTTTACCTTTATTTCATAGATGCCGTGAAGGTGATTTCGGATTTGTAACTGGCGGAAGATTATCTACAATTTGTCACCAATTATCGCTTGATTGAACCAATTTTAACCATTTTTTGGAAAATTTTTGAAAATTTTTAATTTACTTTTCGCGTTTATTGGAACAGATATCGTGACGGCGATTCCAGATTTGTAATTGGCGCAAGATTATCTACAATTTGACACAAATTTTTGTCGATTGAACCCGTTTCAACCATTTTTTGGAAAAATTTTGAATTTACTTTTCGCGTTTATTGGAACAAATATCGTGACGGCGATTTCACATTTGTAACTACCGGAAGATTATTTACAATTTGATACCAATTTTCGGTCGACTGAACCGATTTTAACCATTTTTTTGGAAAATTTTTGAAAATTTTGAACTCGCTTTTTATGTTTATTGGAAAAGATATCGTGATCGTCATTTCAGATTTGTAACTGGCGAAAGATCATCTACAATTTGACACCAATTTTCGGTCGATTGAACCAATTTTAACCATTTTTTTGGAAAATTTTTGAAAATTTTGAACACGCTTTTTATGTTAATTGGAAGAGATATCGTGATCGTCATTTCAGATTTGTAACTACCGGAAGATTATTTACAATTTAGTACCAATTTTCGGTCAGTTGTACCTATTTTAACCATTTTCTTTTTGGAAAATTTTGGAATCATATTTTAACTTTATTTCAATAAATGTCATGAAGGTGATTTCGGATTTGTTAATAGTGGAAGAAAATCTACTATTTGACACCAATTTTCGGTCGATTGAACCGATTTTAAACTTTTTTGGAAAATTATTGAAAATTTTGGAATCATATTTTAACTTCATTTCAACTGATGCCGTGAAATTAATTTCGGATTTGTAAATGGCGAAATATCAACAATTTGAGACCAATTTTCGGTCGATTAAACCAATTTTAACCATTTTTTTTTTTGGAAAATTTTTGAAAATTTTGAGCTCACATTTTATATTGATTGGAACAGATATCGTGACGGCGATTTCAGATTTGTAATTAACTAAAAATTATCCACAATTTGACCCCAATTTTCGGTCGATTGAACCTATTTTAATCTTTTTTTTTTTGGAAATTTTTTGAAAATTTTGGAATCTATTTTACCTTTATTTCTATAGATGTCATGAAGGTGATTTTTGGTTTGTAAATACTGGAAGATTGTCTAGAATTCGACACCAATTTTCGGTCGATTGAACCTATTTTAACCATTTTTTTGGAAAATTTTTGAAAATTTTGTAATCTATTTTACCTTTATTTCAATAGATGTCATGAAGGTGACTTCAGGTTTGTAAATAGTGGAAAATTATCCACAATTTGACACCAATTTTCGATCGATTGTACCTATTTTAACCATTTTTTTGGAAAATTTTTGAAAATTTTGGAATCATATTTTACCTTTATTTCAATAGATATCATGAATGTGATTTCGGGTTTGTTAATAGTGGAAGATTATCCACAATTTGACACCAATTTTCGATCGATTGTACCTATTTTAACCATTTTTTTGGAAAATTTTTGAAAATTTTGGAATCATATTTTATCTTTATTTCAATAGATGTGATGAATGTGATTTCGGATTTGTTAATAGTGGAAGATTATCTACAATTTGACAACAATTTTCGGTTGATTGAACCAATTTTAATCATTTTTTTTGAAATTTTTTGAAAATTTTGAGCCCGCTTTTTTTATATATATGGGAACAGATATCGTGACTGCGATTTCAGATTTGTAATTAACTGAAAATTGTTTACAATTTGACACCAATTTTCGGTCGATTGAACCTATTTTAATCTTTTTTTTTGGAATTTTTTTGAAAATTTTGTAATCTATCTTACCTTTATTTCAATAGATGCCTTGAAGGTGATTTCGGGTTTGTAAATATTGGAAAATTATCCACAATTTGAGACCAATTTTCGATCGATTGAACCTATTTTAACCATTTTTTTGGAAAATTTTTGAAAATTTTGGAATCATATTTTACCTTTATTTCAATAGATGTCATGAAGATGATTTCGGGTTTGTTAATAGTGGAAGATTATCTACAATTTGACACCCATTTTCGGTTGATTGAACCAATTTTAATCATTTTTTTGGAAAATTTTTGAAAATTTTGAGCTCGCTTTTTATATTTATTGGAACAGATATCGTGACGGCGATTTCAGATTTGTAATTAACTGAAAATTGTTTACAATTTGTCACCAATTTTCGTTCGATTGAACCTATCTTTTTTTTGGAAATTTTTTGAATATTTTGGAATCATATTGTACCCTTATTTCAATTGATGTCGTGAAATTAATTTCGGATTTGTAAATGGCGAATTATCATCTACAATTTGACACCCATTTTCGGTCGATTGAACCAATTTTAACCATTTTTTTGGAAAATTTTTGAAAATTTTGAGGTCGCTTTTTATATTTATTGGAACAGATATCGTGACGGCGATTTCAGATTTGTGATTAACTGAAAATTGTTTTCAATTTGACACCAAATTTCGGTCGATTGAACCTATTTTAGCCATTTTTAGGAAAATTTTTGAAAATTTTGGAATCACATTTTACCTTTGTTTCAATGGATGTGTTGAAGGTGATTTTGGATTTGTAGATGAGGGAAGATTTAACACCAATTTTCGATTGGTTGAACCAGTTTTCACCATTTTTTTGAAAATTTTTGAAAATTTTGATCTCGATTTTTATATTTATTGGAATAGATATCGTGATAGCGATTTCAGATTTGTAATTAGCTGAAGATTATCTACAATTTGACACCATTTTTCGGGCGATTGAACCTATTTTAACCTTTTTTTTGACAAATTTTTGAAAATTTTGGATTCAAATTTTACCTTTCTTACAATAGACATCATGAAGGTGATTTCAGATTTGTAAATGGTGGAAGATTGTCTTCAATTTGACACCAATTTTCAGTCGATTGAACCTATTTTAACCATATTTTTGGAAAATTTTTGAAAATTTAGGTATTATGTTTTACCTTCATTTCAATGGATGTCGTGAACGTGATTTCGGATTTCTAACTGGGGGAAGATTATCGACAATTTGACACCAATTTTCAGTCGGTTGAACCTATTTTAACCTTTTTTCTTGGAAAATTTTTGAAAATTTTGGATTCAAATTTTACTTTTATTTCAGTAGACATCATGAAGGTGATTTCGGATTTCTAACTGGAGGAAGATTATCCATAATTTGACACCAATTTTGAGTCTATTGAACTATGGTTAAATTTGGAAAATTTTTGAAAATTGTGAACTCGCTTTTTATATTTATCGGAACAGATATCGTGATGGCGATTTCAGATTTGTAACTAGCGAAAGCTTTTCAACAATTTGACAGCAATTTTCGGGCGATTGAACTGATTTTAACCATTTTTTTGGAAAAAATTTGAAATCATTTTACCTTTATTTCAATTGATATTGTGAAGGTGATTTCAAATTTGCAAATGGCGGAAGACTATCGACAATTTCACCCCAATTTTCATTCGGTTGAACCTAATTCAACCTTTTTTTTGAAAAATTTTTGAAAATTTTGGAATAAAATTTTATCTTTTTTTCAATAGATATGTTGAAGTCATGATTTCGGATTTGTAATTGGCTGAAGATTATCAAAAATTTGACACCACCTTTCGGTCGATTGAACCAATTTTAACCATTTTTTGGAAAATTTTTGAAAATTCAGTTTTCGTGTTTATTGGAATAGATATTATGATGGCGATTTCAGATTTGTAACTAGCGGAAGATTATCTACAATTTGACAACAATTTTCGGTCGATTGAACCAATTTTAAATAAAACACCCTGTAAATTTGAAAAATACGGGAAATGCGTAATTTTCCCTGTCCAAATCATGGGGACACCTGTACAACCTGTTATCAAATTTCTGGAAGGGCTAAATAGATAGATTTTAGTGGATCTGATCTGACTTAGCCACATTTAAGAAGAAAATTAAAGCTGAAAAGCCGTTTTTTGTCCACCAGGTTGGTTCCATCTGCATGGACATCATCGACTACGAGCTCCGCCGCTACGACAAATGGAAAGCCGACCTCGAGGGCGTCGAGGCCCCCGACGACGTCCCCATCGTGCGCAAACCGTGCCCCAGCAGCGCCAGCATGTCCGAGATCCCCCGCAGCCGCATCCCCGAGCCCGTGCGCCCCAAATCCGGCAACTTCTCCGAGACGAACATGAAGGCGGTGATGGAGGGCAGCGTCTACGACGACCTGACCAACTCCACCGAGAGCATCGACGACAAGAAGCTCAGCGAGACCGAGAGGGCCAAGCGCTTCAGGACTTTATTAAAAAAACAAGAACACCTGCTGAGGGTGGCCTTCTACCTGTTACTAAACATCGCCGAGGACGAGAGCATAGAGGAGAAGATGACGAAGCGCAACATCGTCGGACTGTTAGTGAAAGCGCTCGAAAGAGAGAACGAAGAGCTGCTGGTGCTGGTGGTGACGTTCTTGAAGAAGTTGTCCATCATGCAGTGCAACAAGGACGGGATGGCGGGGCTGGGGATTGTGGAGAAGCTTCCGAAGCTGCTGGAATCGAGCAGCCCGGACCTGGTGCACTTGACGCTGAAGTTGCTGTTCAATTTGTCGTTCGACACGAAGTTGAGGTACAAGATCGTGAAAGTGGGGTTGCTGCCGAGGTTCATCGGGTTGTTGAGTGAGTCCGGCGCAGGGGTTCGGCTTGAGTTATCCTGGGGTTATTTTAGGTGATGATCGCCACCAGGAGATGATTTTGAAGTTGTTGTATCATTTGAGTTACGACGATGACGTCAAGACGCAGTTCGCGGAGTGCGTGGGCTTGGTAAGTGGGAGCGAAAATAGCACAGGGGCGGACTAAAAAAAATCGGTCGTGGTTTTAGATTACCGATATGTTGCTTCTGAACATCGGGAACGAAGGTGATGAAGTCATGGTAGCGCTGTGTATTAATTTGGCCACGGATCCGATCAACGCGCAGCAGATGATGAAGAAAAACAGAGTGCAGTCGTTGATGATGAGGGCGTTTACGTACCAGGATAACATGCTAATGAAGATGTTACGGAATCTCTCGGAACATAAATCGTCGAAAGTAAACTTTGTGGTAATTCGAATCGTCGTGTTTAAGGAATAAAACTAACAATAAACACGCAGGAATTCGTCGGGGACATAGCGAAAGCGGTGGTGGAATCCAAAGAGGACGACTTCGTCGTAGAGTGCGTCGGAATCCTCAGCAACCTCAACCTACCTGAACTAGACTGGGCCGAAATTTTCAAACACTTTGACATGTTAAAATGGGTCGAGAAAATCATTCGGAGCAATAACACCGACCCCGAGCTAGTCCTCCAGGTAAAACGTAATACCATAGATTAATATAGATGCGACATACAGGCTGATTTTGCGAAACCACCCTTATTGACGTTGGAGTCCTCAACCGCCAAATTTAACAACTCGTCGCCTGAGAACTTGTTTGACTTACAGACCAGAGCGCGCTCAGGCGAATGTCGACTCTTAAGCGTTCAGAAGCGATTTGGTTGGTTTAGACTATAATTTCTGCGGGAAATAGTTGTTTGGTCGATTTTTATAACGGCTAAGTGAATATTTTTGGTACATGTTTAGATGATTTTACATATTTTGATTAACTAAGAATTAATTGTTTGTGTTTTATACTGGCAAAACGTCTTAAACTAAGAATATTGTTGAAATCGTAATAACCCAATGGATTTTTTTCGGGAAAACGTTTTGGAAACACTGTGCTCTATTTTGTACGATTTTTTTTTAATGTTTTTAGTGACAATTTTTGTAAAAATAATCGAAAATTCGAAAAATCGAGAAATCGAAACATCGAAAAACTGAAAAATCGAAAAATCAAAAGATCAAGAAATCGTGGAGTCGAAAAGTCGAAGAATTCAGAAACCGAAAAAGGTCAAAATCGAAAAGTTAAAAATTGAACAATTTATAAATTGAAAAATTGACAATTAAAATATCGAAAAATTCAAATCTCGATAAATCGAGAAATCAAAAAACTTAAAAATTCGAAAAATTGAGAGATTGAAAGATCCAAAGAACGAGAAATAGAAAAGTGATGAAGTCGAAAAATCGGAAAAGCGGAAAAATCAAAAAACGAAAAAATGGAAAACTGGAAAAACTGAGAAACCGAAATAGGCCAAAATGAAAAATTGAAAAAATGATAAATCGAAAAATTGAAAAGCAGAACATCTAAAACCAGGAAATCGAAAAATAAAAAGATTAAGAAATACTGAAAAATTAAAAAATCCAAAAATTGAAAAATCGAAAAAGTAAAAAGTCGACACATCGAAAAACCCAGAAGTCAAAAATGAAAAAGCCGAAGAATTGAAATATTGAAAAATCAAAAAAGTGAAGTCGAAAAATAGAAACCTTAAAAAATCGAAAAATTGAAAAATCAAAAACCCGAAAAATCAAAAAATTAAAGAATTGAAGAACAGGAAAATCGAAACACTCGAAGGTCAAGAAATGGGAAATTCAAAACATGGAGTAATTGAAAAATCGAGAAACCGAAAAATCAAAAAATCGAAAAATTTAAAATTTGGACGCCAGTAATTGAAGAATTGAAGAGAAAATTGAAAAATCGTAAAATTGACAAATCGAAATATAAAAAAAAAATCGAGAAATCGAAAATTTGAAAAATCGAAAAATTGAAAAATTCCAAAACCTGAAAGATCGAGAAATTGAAAAACTGTAAAATTAAGAAGTCCAAACACGGAGAAATGGGAAAATCAAAAAATCGAAAAATCCAGAAATTGAAAAATCCAAAATTTGAGAAATCGAAAAAAAATCGGGGTTTCGAAAAATTCATGAACCGAAAAATCGAAAAATTCCAAATTAAAACACTGAAAATTGAGAAATCGAGAAATGAAAAGACGAAAAATCATCAAGTCGAAAAATAAAAAAACCGAAAATTTCAAAACTCAAAAATCAAAAAATTGAAAATCGAGAAATGAGAAAATCGAAAGGTCGAAAAATCAAGAAATCCAAAAGTTAAAAAATCGAGAAGCCGAAAAGTAGAAACATTGAAAAACTGTAAAATTAAAACATCTAGAACCAGGAAGTCGAAAATAGAAAGATTATGAAATATTGAAAAATTAAAATATCAAAAGATTGAAAAATCTAAAATTTAAAAATCCAAAAATTGAAAAATCGAAAAAGTAAAAAGGTAGACACATCGAAAAACCCCGAAGTCAAAAATCGAAAAGTCGAAGAATCAAAATATTGAAAAATCCCAAAACTGAAATATCGAAAAACTGAAAAATGAAAGAAAAACTAAAAATGGGAAACAAATCGGGAAATCAAAACATTGAAAAATCGAAAAATTTAAAGCGACAATTGAAAGCAGAAAATCTAAAACCGGGAAATCGAAAAATCGAAAGATTAAGCAATCGAAAAATTGAAAAATCGAAAAAGTAAAAAAATCGATACATTGAAAACTCCAGAAGTCAAAAATCGAAAAGTCGAAGAATCAAAATATTGAAAAATCCCAAAACTGAAATATCGAACAACTGAAAAATGGAAAACCTGAAAAATCCGAAAACTGAAATATCCAAAAACTGAGAACATAAAAATTCGAAAAATTGAGCAATAGAAAAATCCAAAAAGTGAAGTCGAAAAATTGAAACCTTGAAAAAATAAAAAAAACAAAAAATCAAAAACCTGAAAAATCAAAAAATGGGAAAATCAAATCGTCGATTAATTGAAAAATCGAAAATTTGAAAAAACGACAATTGAAAAACAGAAAATCTAAAACCGGGAAGTCGAAAAATCGATTGATTAAGAAATCAAAACATTTGAAAAATTGAAATATGGAAGAGCCGAAATGAAAAATCGAGAAATGGAAAAATCTAGAATTTTAAATATTGAAAAATTAAGATACCAAAAAATTGAGAAATCTAAAATTTAAAAATCGAAAAAGTAAAAAGTCGACACATCGAAAAATCCACAAGTTGAAAAATCGACAATTAAAGAGTTTATAAAAGTTAAAATATCGAAAAGTCAAAAAATTGAGAAATCGAAGTATAAAACAGTCGAAAAATTGAAAAATCCAAAGTTTAAAAGGCGAAAAATCGAAAATCCAAACAGTAAAAAGTCTAGAAACAGAAATATCCAGTATTAGAAAAATCGAAAAGTCGAAATACTAAAAAAAGAGTTGAAAAACTGAAAATTCACAAAATTGAACAAAATATTCAAAAACTAGGAAGTGAAATAATTGAAAAATGGAGAAATCAAAAGGTCAAAAAGCAAAGTCGAAAAATCGCAACTTTAAAAAATCAAAAATTGAAAAATCAAAAACCCGAAAAATCAAAAAATAGATTAATTGAGAAATCGGAAATTGAAAATTCTGAAACGTGAAAATTTGAAAAATTAAAAAATGTCGAAAAACTGAAAAATCGAAAAATGTAAAATTTGAAACATTGAAAAATTGAAAAATGGAGAAATCAAAAAAATAAAAATTTAAAAATCGAAAAATTACAAAAAAATCGAAAATTAAAAAATTCCGAAAAACCTAAGATTTTAAAAACTGAAAAGTTAAAACATCGAAAAGTTGAAAAATTGAGAAATCGAAGTATAAAACAGTCGAAAAATTGAAAAATCCAAAGTTTAAAAAACGAAATCCAAATAGTAAAAAGTCGAGAAACCGAAATATCCAGTATTAGAAAAATTGAAAAGTCGAAATACTAAAAGAGTTGAAAAATTGAAATTTCACAAAATTGAACAAAATATTCAAAAACTAGGAAGTTAAATAATTGAAAAATTGAGAAATCAAAAGGTCAAAAAGCAAAGTCGTTAAGTTAAAAAATCAAAAACTGAAAAATCGAAAAATTGCAGAACTGAACTATGGGAAGTCCAGAAATGGGAAAATCAAAAAATAGATTAATTGAGAAATCGGAAATCTGAAAATTCTGAAACGTCAAAAAATTTGAAAAATTAAAAAATATCGAAAAACTGAAAAATCGAAAATTGAAACATTGAAAAATAAAAATGTAAAATTGAAAAATGGAGAAATCTAAACATCAAAAAATCAAAAAAATTTAAATTGAAAAATCTGAAATTAAAAATCGAAACACTGAAAAATCAACCAATCGAGAAATCGAAACTCTAAAATTAAAAAAAATTGGAAAACTGAAAAATCTAATAATACAAATCGAAACATAGAAGTGGAAAAATAGAAAAATTGAGAAACGGAAGTGGGCCAAAATGGAAAAACCTAAGATTTTAAAAACTGAAAAGTTAAAATATAAAAACTGAGAAATTAAAAAATTGGAAAATTCAGAAATAGAAAAACCAAAAAAGGCAAAGTTGGAAATTCGAAGAATTGGAGAACGGAAAAATCGAAACTTGGACAAGTCGAGAAGTGGAAAAATCAAAAATAGATTAATTGAGAAATCGGAAAACTGAAAATTTAGTAACGCCAAAATTTGAAAAATTGAAAAATAGAAAATTGTATTGAAGAACTGAAAAATAAAAAAATCGAGAAATCGAAAAATCTAAAATTAAGAATCGATAAATGGAGAAATCGAAACTCCAGAATAAAAATCGAAACGTCGAAAAATTGGAAAATCGAAAAAAAAATTGGAAAATCGAGAATTTAAAAATTCCGAAAATTGAAAAATTGAAATATAGAACTGAAAACTCAAAAAACCGAAAAAGCCTAATATTTTAAAAATTGAAAAATTAAAATTGTGAAATCGAGGCATAAAACATTTAAAACATTGAAAAATCGAAAGTTTAAAAAACGGAAAATTGAGAATTCAAGGAGTAAAGTCAAGAAATCGAAAAATCGAAACTTTGGGAAGTGGAGAAATGGGAATATAAAAAATAGATTAATTGAGAAATCCGAAAACTGAAAAATCGAAAAATGTAAAATTTGAAACATTGAAAAATTAAAGTATTGTAAAATTGAAAATGGAGAAATCTAAACATCAAAAAATCAAAAAAATAAAAATTGAAAAATCTAAAATTAAAAAAAATTGGAAAACTGAAAAATCGAATAATCAAGAGATCGAGAAATCGAGGAGTCGAAAAATCGAGAAACAGAAATAGGCCAAAATCGAAAAGTTAAAAATGGAAAAATTGATATCGAGAAATTGAACTATCAAAACATCGGAAATTCGCATCTCGATAACCCGAGATCTCAAAAAATTGAAAATCGAAAATTTACAAATTCGGAAAATTAAAAAATTTATATAAAAAATTGGTCTAAAGAGTTTAGACAGTACTTCCCTCGCTGTCGGAAACGTGACGACTGCATGCCTATTATGTTTTTTTTTTCGCAGTGGATTTCAAAGAATTCGGTTTTGTAGTTCCTGATTAAATCAATAAAATATATTTACGCATTCATTAATTTTTTTGAGTCACTCTGTATATGCAAATCCAAAAAATATAAATGGAGTGATAAATGACAAGTACAGACTCATCATATTTTGTACATTTTAGATATGATTTATTCGGCAAACTTTCGAGCTGACGTCATCAAGTTTTTGGAGGGGATAAGCAAATATATTTTGAATAGACATTTATTATGCTCTTTATGACCTTAAAACATCTGCAAGATTTCAGAGCATTCGGTTTTGTAGTTCCTGATTAAATCAATAAAATATATTTACGCATTCATTAATTTTTTTGAGTCACCCTGTATATGCAATTCCAAAAAATATGAATGGAGTGATAAATTACAAGTACAGACTCATCATATTTTTACAGTTTAGATAGGATTTATTCGGCAAACTTTCGAGCTGACGTCATCAATTTTTTGGAGGGGATAAGCAAATATATTTTGACTAAAGATTTATTATGCTCTTTAGAACCTTAAAACATCTGCAAGATTTCAAAGCATTCGGTTTTGTAGTTTCTAAGTAAATCAGTAAAATAAATTTACGCATTCATTAATTTTTTTGAGTCACCCTGTATATGCAAATCGAAAAAATTTGAATGGAATGATAAATCACAAGAAGAGACTCACCATATTTTGTACATTTTAGATAGGATTTATTCCACAAACTTTTGAGCTGACGTCATCAAGTTTTTGGAGGGGATAAGCAAATATTTTTTGACTAAAGATTTATGATGCTCTTTATAGCCTTAAAACATCTGCAACATTTCAAAGCATTCTGGTTAGCAGATTAAAAATTAAATTTCAAAATGTTGTTTTATAATTTTGATTTTTTTTCCAAAAATCTGGACGTTTCGGGTGAAAAGTCGATTCGGAGTTGTAAACTACATGTGTAGGACTATGTTATTTTATACAATTGAAAACCCATTTACTATGTACAATTTTGAAGTGACGTCATCGCATTAGTGGTGGGGATGATTAGACAAATTTTGGTTAGCGTTTTACCATCTACATGATATTCTTAATATAAGTACAAAATTTCACAACAATCGGTCGAGTACTTTCGGAGATTATCTGTCTAATAAAAATCCGGGACAACAGACGGACAGACGGACAGACGGACGGACAGACGGACAGACGGACGGACGGACAGACGGACAGACGGACAGACAGACGGAAATGGGAGACCTATTTCTTCGTCTTCTAGGGGTCATGAAAGATCGAGAAAACGTAAAAGTAGAGAGTCGGCCGACGGACTCGATTACAATACTTCCTTTGCTTACGCTCGGGAAGTAAAAAGAACTGAGAACTCGAAAAGTCGAAAAAACTAGAATTTTAAAAATATATATATATAATCTGTTACCCTCTTTTACCCATTGGGTGTCGAGGGAGAATTTTAAAAATGAAAAATTAAAATATCGAAAATTTGAAAAATTGAGAAATCGAAATATTAAACAGTCGAGAAATTGAAAAATCCTGAAATGCATATCAAAAACTGAGAAATTAAAAAATTGGAAAATTCAGAAATAGAAAAACCAAAAAAGCAAAATTCAGAATAAAAATCGAAACATCGAAAAATTGGAAAATCGAAGATTGAAAAATTGAAATATAGAAGAACTGAAAACTCAAAAAATCGAAAAAACCTAATATTTTAAAAATTGAAAAATTGAAGTTGAGAAGTCGAAGCATAAAACAGTTAAAACATTGAAAAATCTTAAGTTTAAAAAACGGACAATTGAAAATCCAAAAAGTAAAAAGTCAAGAAATCGAAAAGTCGAAAAACTAAGAGATCCCAAAACTCAAATATCGAAAAATTGAAAAATACAAGAAAAATTAAAAAATCGAAAATTCTAGAAGTCGAAAAATCAAAGAATCGAAATATTGAAAAATCTCAAAACTGAATGAAATATCCAAAAATTGAGAAATCGAAAAATGGAAGAATTGAAGAACTGAAAAATCGAAACTTTGAGAAGTGGGAAAATCAAAAATAGATTAATTGAGAAATCAGAAAACAGAAAATTTAACGTCAAAATTTGAAAAATTAAAAAATTGAAATACTGAAAAACTGAGGCAGGAGAAGTCGGGAGCCGAAAAGGAAGGTTAAAAATTGAAAAATTGATAAATTGAGAAATCGAAAAATTTTAAAAAAGAAAAACTGGAAAATCGAAAATTAAAATTAAAAAATTCGAAAAATTGAAATATGAAAGAATTGAAAACTCGGGATATCGAAAAGTTGAAAATTTTTAAAGTTTAACAATAAATTGAAAATCCAAAAAGTAAAAAATCGAGAAATAAAAAATCCATCAATTCAAAAATCGAAAAATCGAAATATTGAAAAATCTCAACTGAAAGAATTATTCACGCCCCCTGAATTCCTTGTCCCAAAGCTCACTATTTCGACGAAGTAAAATTTGTATTAGGTTGTCCAGCTATAATACGCTTAAACAATGTCTACACTCACTGACGTAACACCAAACTTTATTCATCTTAGGTTGTCGTTCTGCTGGGCACAGCTGCCGCAGACGAAGGCTGCGCCGGCCTCCTCTGCGAATCCAACATCATGAACGTCCTAATCGACCTCCTCAAAACCCACCAAGAAGACGACGAAATCGTCCTCCAAATAATATTCGTTTTCTTCGCCACGATATCGCACGGCACTAAGATCGACTACTTGGCCGAAAAAACGGAAGCTCCAGCCTACTTGATCGACCTCCTCCAGGACAATAACAAGTCGATACGGAAGCTGTGCAACACGTGTCTTAACATAATCGCCGACCACAGTAAAACGTGGGCGGAACGCATAAGGATTGAGAAGTTCAGGCACCACAACGCGCAGTGGCTGCAGATGGTGGACTCGCAGCAGCTGGAGCCCGAGGAAGACGAGGACGAGGAGGACGCGCTGCCGCCATATTTGAATACAGAGTTCCTGGGGACGGCCGTCGTGCCGCCACTGTCAGGTACGTGTGCCGCCTTTCGCATTTATCGAATCGAACTAGAGGCAACTGACGTCACAAACGTCAAAGTCACGTGTTGATTTTTGTTTACAGATTTGACTGATACGGTGCCGGATTCCGAGTTTATTTCACAAAAGGAATTGGACTTCGACTATTTCGACAGACCCGAGTAAGTTTCGGTCTGCGTTTTCGTGGGTGGTTTTAATGTCGTCTTTTTCAGAATGATGCCTGACCTTGAAATCGAGGCCATGTAGCTTTAGTTACAATTTGCGTTCGTGCACAAGTGATATTTCCAAGCTTTCTAGTCATTTTCTTGTTGATTTGTATTGATATTGAATAGTGAACTAATAAAATGATTCATGTATGATGTACTTAGCGCGGAATGCGTCGTTACTTTTTTTAATTTTGAATATATTTTGTTTGATTACGTTTGTTTGTGAATGAAGCCACCCTCTTAGATAACTGCCTTTATTTCAATGCTAATACAGAAGCTAATTTCAAATTATGAAATTAAAAAAGAAAAGACGACACGAATAAAACATAACCTATAAGTTTATATCAACTTAGAACGATATAAATTAGGCTTAACATTATTATCTACATAATACTAATAACATGAATGCACCTGCACAGGATTGGCACAACAAATAAAGGGTGCAAGTAGTTAAAAGTAACCCATACAAGAAGCATGAAGACTAGTGGATTTGTAAAGTGAAACAAAACCCTTGAGCATGAAGTGTAGATTAGAGACACCATTACACGTGTCGAAACATGAGATGAGATTATATACAAGATTATCACTTTAGCTTATTCGAATAAGTTATAGTCATCACAATTCATGATTCACAGAAACATATACAACTTAAAAAACACATTTTTATTAAACTGAAATTCGTACTAAAAATTAAAGGAAACAAGTTACTATGAATCCATGATCACACAAAACCGAAATTCTTTGTTTTGATGGCAAGTAGTAATTTCTGTCTGAGGACCGCACGACTACTGTAAAGTGGAATATATAAACGTGATATACATGTGTTCGCCGTCGGTAAGTGTGCGTCGTCTGCCGGTCGAATGGTGACCGAGGGCATGGGCTGGAACCCGTCCTCGCTGGCGGGAAGCGCCGGGGAACCCGTCCAGAAATACACCTACAAACAACCAGTTGAACCCGAGCGAAGCGAGCCGTCACCACTCACCAAATCCTGCCGCTCCAAGTGCGTCATTTTCTCCACGATCGACCACAACCACCGCTTGAATTTCACCAAACGCTCGCTGTTCTCGCCTGATTCGTCGTTAAATGAAGTGTACGAAATTAAAACCGCCACGTTTATGTCCCCCACGCCGTTCAACAACAGGCGCAGGTCTTCGGCAGTCAGACTGTCCAGAGACCCCTCCGGTAAAACGTCGAACACGCCAGTACGAATGCTCTGCAAAAATCGCGGCGTGAACACAGTCGGCCATTTTGTGACGTCACTACTTACGTCAATCGCCTTCTCTTGCACCTTGATCATCCTGTACTTGGCGTATTTGCGCACGTAGTCGTAGACGTTGCTAGAGGTGACCTCGATGTCCTTCCCGCCCGGCATCAACTCCACGGTGCCGCCGCCCTCCTCAGGACTCAAGTCAATCCTACAACCAAAAAATAACAAAATTGGTTTTATAATTTTTAATTCGGGTAAAACATCAAAACGGAATCCTACACTATACCGGGTGTCTGGAAAATGGCGGATTAAGTAATTTCATAAAAGTAAAATTGGCAACACTGCACGCATCTAATGCATGAATACCTCATTTTTTTAAATCAGTACTTGCTAAGATAAGGCTGATTTTGGCAGATGAGATATCCTTAAAGAAAAGAGAGGGTGGGTGGGCGGGGTTAGAACCTGCTAAGATAAAACTAATTTTTGCAAATGACATTCCCTGTAAGAAAATGGAGGGTAGAGGAAATTATTTTTAATTTTCGTTTCAGAAAATATAGCTGTTTATATGTTCACAGAAATGTTTAAAATTTGTTTTTTTGAGACAATAGTGAGTTCAGGACAGGTCAGATCACGTTAGGTCAAGTCAGGTCAAGTGCACGAAATAAGCAATTAATTTTATAGCAAATAGTATAACAAAACACATAATTAGCCCCGCCCACCCACCCTGCCTCTATTTCAGTGATTGATTTTATTCGGTCTGAATAAAATGAATGATCTTATGCTGACGAGAATTAAAAGTAGTCGGCTAGAAAAACGGGGTGGGCGGGGCTAGTACTTGCTAAGATAAGACTGTTTTGGGCAAATGACATATCTTCCAAAAAAGTAGAGGGCGGGTGGGCGGGGCTAATACTTACTAGATTAATACTGATTTTAGCAAATCACTTTCCCTTTAAGAAAACAGAGGGTGGGTGGGCGGGGTTAGTATTTTATACGATTCTTCATTTTCCAGAATCGCCAATCGAAATATGGCAATTTATACGATTTAAAAAAAAAATCATTTTCAATTCGACAGAGAAATTATGAATTTCGCCAAGAATGCGTTCAGGAGAAAAAAAAATTGGGAGCTGGAAATGAGCCCCTAATCAGAAACATTTTTTGAAGAACCGCTTGTATTTGATATTTTGATTTTTTTTTACATATATAAATAATATAATTTTTTCTTCCCTGTGATGATCTTTCACGTTTTTTTAGTATTTCAGATGTCATGGAATACGAAAATATAGGTCTACCATTTTCATTTGGCTCTTGATTTTGAAAAAAAAAAGATGTCCAAACTATTGACTGCGAAATTTTAAATGCGGATTCTAACATTTATCTAGATCTTGGCAAGTATTGCCCCGCCCACCCACCCTTTATTTTCTTAAAGAAGAGGTAATTTGCCAAAATCAGTCTTATTTTGCCAAGTACTAGGACCATCCACCCGCCCTTTATTTTCTTAGAGGGTATGTTATTTGGTAATATCAGCCTTATCTTGGCACATACTAGCCCCGCCCACCCGCCCTTTATTTATTTAGAGGGCTGCTAAGATATAGTTTCCCTAGTTCTAATTCGGTTTTATGAGTTTACCCATTATGTAAAAGTTAACTTCCCTAACTTCCCTACGGATTTAACCATACCGTTACCATTATATAGAATACAATGTTTAAATCCTTATTTATGACTGTCCCTTCACCGGCAGTAGTAACCTATTGTTAAGGAAGTTATCTTTTACACATCATAAAACCGAATTAAAACTGGGGAAACTATAAGAAGATTTTGACAAATCAGATTCCTCAAAGAAAAGAGAGGGCGGGTGGGCGGGGCTAGTACCTGCTAAGATAAGACTGACATTGGCAAATTACTCTCTAAGAAAATGAAGGGCAAGTGGATGGGGCTGGTCCTTACTAAGATACTGATTTTGGCAAATGAGATTCCTCTAGGAAAAGGGAGGGTGGGTGGGCGGGGCTAGTACCTTCTAAGATAAGAGTGATTTGGGCAGATGCCATACTCTCTAAGAAAAGAAAGGGTGGGTGGGCAGGGCTAGTATCTGCTAAAATAAGACTGTTTCCGGCACATGACATCTTCCATAAAAATAAAAGACCCTCCATTTTCTTAGAGACTAATTAATTTGCCAATGTTAGTCTTATCTTAGCAGGTACTAGCCCCGCCCACCCACCCTCTTTTTTGTTAGAGGATACGTCATCTGCAAGAATCAGTCATATCCCATCATGTACTAACCCCGCCCAGTCCTTTCTTAAAAGGTATCTCATTTGCCAAAATCACTCTTTACTTGACAGGTACTAGCCCCGCCCACCCACCCTCTTTTTGTTAGAGGATACGTCATCTGCAAAAATCAGTCATATCCTATCATGTACTAACCCCGCCCAGTCCTTTCTTAAAAGGTATCTCATTTGCCAAAATCACTCTTTACTTGACAGGTACTAGCCCCGCCCACCCACCCTCTTTTTTGTTAGAGGATACGTCATCTGCAAAAATCAGTCTTATCCTAGTAGGCACTAACCCCAATTTTTTCTTAGAAGGTATCTCATTTGCCAAAATCACTCTTGTCTTGACAGATACTAGCCCCGCCCATCCACCCTCTTTTTTGTTAGAGGATACGTCATCTGCAAAAATCAGTCTTATCCTAGTAGGCACTAACCCCAATTTTTTCTTAGAAGGTATCTCATTTGCCAAAATCACTCTTGTCTTGACAGATACTAGCCCCGCCCATCCACCCTCCCCTTTCTGAGAGGATTTGTGATTTACCAAAATTGATCTTAGTTTCGCAGGTACTAGCCCCAATCCCAGTCCTCTATTTACTTAGAGGGATCTCATTGGTCAAAATCAATCTTATTATAGTTTCCCCAGTTCTAGTTCGATTTTATGAAAGATAACTTCCTTAACAATAGGTTACTACTGCCGGTGAAGGGACAGTCATAAATAAGGATTTAACCATTATACTGTATAATGGTAACGGCATGGTTAAATCCTGATTTATGACTGTCCCATCACCGGTATAAGTATTCTATTGTTAAGGAAGTTAACTTTTACACAATGGGGTACTATCATAAAACCGAATTAGAACTGGGGAAACTATATCTTAGCAGGCCTCTAAAAAAATAAAGGGTGGATGGGCGGGATAAGTATGTCAGAACATAAGACTAATTTTAGCACTTTTGGCATTTTCGATCATTTTTCAACCATTTTCGAAACTTAGCCAAAGCCATTTTCTCGTAGATTTCGACATCCAAGTCATTTTCGGCTCCGTTTTTTCAATTTTTCAGAATCGCTAATCGAAATATGACAATTTTTACGATTTAAAAAAATTCACTTTCAATCCGACACAGAAACTATGAATTGCGCCAAGAATGCGTTTAAGAGGGGAAAAAAAAAATTGGAGCTGGAAATGAGCACCATAATTTTTCTACTAAACATCAGAAACATTTTTTGAAAAACAGCTTATGGTTGATATTTTGATTTTTTTTTAATTACTCGACATCAAATTTTTACCAATTAAATCAAGAACCATTTTTTTTCAAAATTATATTAATAATATAATTTTTTCTTGCCAAACGATTCCTAAAGAAAAAATCTCACTGTGATGGTCTTTCACGTTTTTTTTTAGTATTTTAGATCTAATAGAATACGAAAATATAGGTTTACTATTTTCTTTTGGCTCTTGATGATTTTATAAAAAAAATGTCCAAACTATTGACTGCGAAATTTTAAATGCGGATTCTAACATTTATCTAGATCTTGGCAAATATTGGCCCCGCCCACCAACCCCTTATTTTCTTAGAGAGGTCATTTGCCAAAATCAGCCTTATCTTGGCAAGCATTAGCCCCGCCCACCCACCCTTGTTTTTATAGGGCTAGTACCTGTTAAGATATAGTTTCCCCAGTTCTAATTCGGTTTTATGATGTGTAAAAGTTAACTTCCTTAAAAATAGAATACTATTGCCGGTGCAAGAAATGCAAGCAATCCAAAAATGTCAAGAATTTCAAATATCCTAAAAATTCTAAGAAATTCGACAAACCCAAAAACCTCAAGAATTCCAAGAATAATCCAGGAATGTCAGGAATTCCAAGAATCCCAAAAATACAAATATATCCAAGAAATTCAAAGTCAAGAATTTTAAAAATTCCAAGAAATTAAAAAAACCCAAGGAATTTAAAATTCCAAAAAATACAAGGAAATCAAGAAATGTAAGCAATCCTAGAATTTCAACAAATGTAAGCAATCCCAAAAATTCCAAGAACCCTATAATCTCATTAATTCGTAGAATCACTAATTCCAAGAAATCCAAAAAATAAAAAAAAATCAAGAATTCTAAAAATATCAAAATTACAAAAATCCCAACAACCACAAGAAATCCAAGAATGGCAGGAATTCTAGGAATCCCAAGAATCCCAAGGATTCAAGGAAATCCAAGAAATTTAAAAATTTAAGAATTCCAAAATTTCAAGAAATCTAAGAAATGCAAGAAAGGCAAGAATGTCAAGAATTCCAAATAACCTAAAAATTCTAAGAAATCCAAGAACGTCTAGAGTTCCAAAAAATAAAATCAGGAATTTAAAAAATTCCAAGAAATTCAAGAAACCCAAGGAATCTAAGAATTCCAAAAAATCCAAGAGATTCAATAACCGAAGAATCAGAAGAAATTCAAGAATGTTACGAACTCCAAGAACCCCAAGAATTTAACAATCCGGAAAATATAAAAAATTCCAGGAATTCCAAGAAATTTAGAAAATCCGAAAAATTCAAAAAGTCAAAGAAATCCAAGCAACCCAAGAAATCTAAGAATTCCAAGAAATGCAAGCATTCCAAGAATCTCAATAATTCCAAATATCCTAAAAATTCTAAGAATCGGAGAAACCCAAGAAACTCAAGAACTCCAGGAATCCAAAAATTCCCAAAATCCCAAAAATCTCAAGAATCGCAAAAAAGTTAACTTCCTTGTCAATAGAATACTATTGCTGGTGATGGGACAGTCATAAATAACGATTTAACCATGCCGTCTCTTGGGTTTTTTGGAATTCTTAGATTCCTTGGGTTCCTTGAATTTCTTGGAATTTTTAAAATTCCTGATTTTTCGGGATATCTTGGGATTTCTGGAATTCTAGAGGTTCTTTGGTTTCTTTGAATTTTTAGGTTATTTGGAATTCTTGACATTCTTGGCTTTTTTGCATTTCTTGAATTTTTTAGATTTCTTCGAATTTTGGAATTCGTGAATTTTTAAATTTCTTGGATTTTTTTTTAGATTCTTGGGATTCTTAGAATTCCTACTGGATTTCTTGGATATATGTATTTGGATTCTAGGCATTCTTGGAGTTCTTGTGATTTTTGATTCTTGGGATTCCTGGAATTTTGAAGTTCTTCGGTTTCTCGGATTTCCTACAATTTCTAGGATATTTGGAATTCTTCGAATTTTTGGAATTCTTGAATTTGGATTTCTTGGAATTCTTAGAATTCTGTGAGTTTTTAATATTTTTCGGATTTTTGATTCTTGGGATTCTTGGATTGCTTGTTTCCTGGAATTCTTGGATTTTTTGGAATTCTTAAATTCCTTTGAGTTTCTTTAATTTCTAGGATTTTTTAAAACTTCAGAATTTTTTGGATTTATTGGGATTCTTGGAATTCCTGACATTCTTTCATTTCATGTGATTCTTGAGATTTTTGGGATTCTTGGAATTTTTGGGAATTTTGGGAATCCTGGAATTCTTGAGTTTCTTGGATTCTTAGAATTTTTAGGGTATTTGGAATTCTTGAGATTCTTGGAATGCTTGCCTTTCTCGTATTTCTTGGAATTCTTAGATTTCTTGGAATTCTTAGAATTCTGGGAATTTTTGATATTTTTCGGATTTTTGGATTCTTGGATTGCTTATGTTTCCGGGAATTCTTGGATTTTTTGGAATTGTAAAATTCCTTGGATTTCTTGAATTTGTAAGAATTTTTAAAATTTCAGAATTTTTTAAATTTATTTGGATTCTTGTAATTCCTGACATTCTTTGATTTCTTGTGATTCTTGAGTTTCTTGGGTTTCTTGGATTCCTAGAATTTTTAGGATATTTGGAATTCTTGAGATTTTTTTATATTTTTCGGATTTTTGGATTCTTGGATTGCTTGTTTCCTGGAATTTGGAATTCCTGGAATTTTTGAGTTTCTTGCCTTTCTCGGATTCTTAGAATTTTTTGGAATGCTTGCCTTTCTCGTATTTCTTGGAATTCTAAGATTTCTTGCGTTCCTTGGATTTCTTAAGATTCTGGGTTTCTTTGACTTTTTGAATTTCTTGGATTTTTGAGATTTTTTGGAATTCTTAGATATCTTGAGTTTTGGATTTCTTGGAATTTCTGGAATTTTTGATATTTTTCGGATTGTTAAATTATTGGGGTTCTTGTAGTTCGTAACATTCTTGGATTTTTTGGAATTCTTAGATTCCTCGGGTTTCTCGAATTTCTTGGAATTTTTGAAATTCCTGATTTTTTGGATTTCTTAGGATTTCTCGAACTCTAGAGGTTCTCGGGTTTCTTAGAATTTTTACGTTATTTGGAATTCTTGGAATTTTGGAATTCCTAAATTTTTAAATTTCTTGGATTTCCTCGAATCCTTGAGATTCTTGGATTTCTTGTGATTGTTGGGATTTTTGTAATTTTGGTATTGTTGGAATTCTTGAATTTTTTCATGTGGATTTCTTGGATTTCTTTAAATTCTAGGAATTTTTGATATTTTTTGGATTGTTGGATTCTTAGGACCCTTGGAATTCGTGACTTTCTTGGATTTCATCTGATTCTTGGGATTCTTGGATTGCTTGTTTCCTGTAATTCTTGGATTTTTTGGAATTCTTAAATTCCTTGGGTTTCTTGAATTTCTAGGAATTCTTTAAATTTCAGAATTTTTTGGATTTCTTGTGATTCTTGGAATTTTTGTGATTCTCGGAATTTTTGGGATTCTCGGATTTTTTGGGATTCTTGGAATTCTTGAGATTCTTGGGTTTCTCCGAGTCTTAGAATCTTTTGGATATTTGGAATTCTTGAGATTCTTGGAATGCTTGCCTTTCTTGCATTTCTTGGAATTCTTAGATTTCTTAAGATTTTAGATTTCTTGGATTTTTTGAATTTCTTGGAATTCCTGGAATTTTTGATATTTTTCGGATTGTTAAAATCTTAGGGTTTTTGGAGTTCGCAACATTCTTAGATTTCTTCTGATTCTTGGGTTATTGGATCTCTTTGATTTTTTGGAATTCTTAGATTCCTGGAACCCTAGAGGTTCTTGGGTTTCTTAGAATTTTTAGATTATTTGGAATTCTTGACATTCTTGTATTTCTTGAATTTCTTAGATTTCTTCGAATTTTGGAATTCGTGAATTTTTAAATTTCTTGGATTCCCTTGAATCCTTGGGTTTCATTGGATTTTTTAGATTTTAGATTCTTGGATTCCTGCATTTTTTGGAATTTTTAGATTTCTTGGGTTGCTTGATTTTTTGGAATATTTGGAACTCTTGAATTTGGATTTCTTGGATTTGTTTGAATTCTCAGAATTCTGGGAATTTTTGATATTTTTCGGATTGTTGGATTGCTTGTTTTCTGGAATTCTTAAATTCCTTGGGTTTTTTGAATGTCTAGAAATTTTTAAAATTTCAGAATTTTTTGATTTATTGGGATTCCTGGAATTCTTGAGTTTCTCGGATTCTTAGAATTTTTAGGATATTTGGAATTCTTAGATTTCTTGGGTTGCTTGGATTTTCTAGATTTCTTGGAATTCCTGGAATTTTTTATATTTTTCGGATTGTTAAATTCTTAGGATTCTCGGAGTTCGTAACATTCTTGGATTTCTTCTGATTTTTGAGTTATCGGATCTCTAGGATTTTTTGGAATTCTTGAATTTTTAAATTTCTTGGATTTCCTTGAATCCTTGGGATTCTTGGATTTTTTTTAGATTCTTCGGATTCCTAGAATTCCTGCCATTCTTGGATTTCTTGTGATTGTTGTGATTTTTGTAATTTTGGTATTTTTGGAATTCTTGAATTTTTTTATTTTTTGGATTTCTTTGAATTCTTGGAATTGTTGAAATTCTTAGACTGCTTACAGTTCTTGGATTTCTTGTATTTTTTGGAATTTTAAATTCCTTGGGTTTTTTTAATTTCTTGGAATTTTTAAAATTCTTGACTTTTTGGATTCTTGGCAATAGTATTCTATTGTTAAGGAAGTTAACTTTTACACATCATAAAACCGAATTATAACTGGGGAAACTATAATACCGATTTTGGCCAATGAGATTCCTCTAAGAAAAGAGAGGGTGGGTGGGCGGGGCTAGTACCTTCTAAGATACGAGCGATTTTGGCAAATGACTAATTTCTTCGTATTCTAGAGACCGAGCTTTTGTTCGAAAAACCTAAAAGTACATTTTCACTTACGTGAAATTCAAATCCAGCGTCGTGAACAAATTATTACAATCCTTCGTCTCCGCGTCCACCACCAGCTGCCTCAGCGACTCGTACACCACCGGATCGAAGAACGCCAGATCGTGGAACTTGATCGGTCTGCCCAAGATCGACTTCAGCACGTGTCTAGTCAAGAAAATCGGACACAGTTCGTTCTGCAAAAGGCACAACCCCAACAGCCTGCCCACGTTCCTGAACGCGTTCAGCCGCTCGAAACTCGCTTTGCCCTGCCTCGGCGCGTAGAAGCCGCGCTTGCCCGGGCAATAGAACAGCGGCGCGTTGTCCTCCTCGTCCTGGCCGTTCTCCTCGACCGCGTTGTCGTTGCCGCCCGACCGGCCGGCGCTCTTCCGCGACGAGCCGCGATCCGTCAGCGTGAAAACGTCCAACTCCAGCAGCGCCTCGGACGTCAGCTCCTGCTGCGAGTGCAAGTGCGCGAGGATCATCTCGACCGCCTCCTCCACCTTGGCGCGCAGCGAGTCCTCGGACGCCAGGAGGAGGAGGAGCTGCGCGGGCGACAGCTCGAGGAGCATCCCGGTGATGCGACCGGCGAAGTTCGGGTGGAGGTTGTACACTTTGGGGTACAGCCGGTCGCCTAGTTGTTGCTGGTGGGCGGAGAGCTGCTCGTTGCGGGTGGAGCCGGACTGGTTGCCGCCGCTGCTGCTCGCCGGGTTGTTGGAGGAGGTGGAGAGGTCGGGCATGGAGGGGGCGTCCGAGTGGAAACTGTCGCTGGGGACGAAGGGGCGGGCGTCCACGTTCATGGTGCGGCGGTGCTCGCGGGAGCGGTTGGAGCCGCGCATGGGGACGGTCCTGCGCAGGACGTCCCTGTCGCGTCTTAATCTGCAACTTCAAGTTAAAAGCGACACGATTTTTACGATAAACATACCTCTGAAGGACACTGTATTGCGAATATTTGTTGTCGACTTGAGCCGACTCTAGGTTCGGGAGCTTCTCGTTAGAGAGGATGGCTTCGGCTATTGCGGTGTAGAAGCTTCGGGCGACCCCGGAACCCTCGCCTGGTTCGTCTTTAAACGTCACCTTGACTCGGTTTACCGCTAGAGGCGGCGACGACGAGTTGCGGCGGTTGTAATTGTTATACTGAGTGTTCAATTCTTTGAATGTCATCAGGAGCAACTGAGTGCGGTCGCGCTCCATCTAGCGAACAAACGAATTGCGAAAATGGCGCAGTCGGTAGGATTAATTTAGACACTCACCTTCGATAAAGTCAGATCTTTCTGTTGATTGTTCCTCAACTTCTCCATGTCCCGTCTGAACTTGGCCTCCTTCACCGGGAATCCACCCAACTCCGAGACAATCGAGCCGGGCTCCAAACCCACGTCCTCCATGAACACGCGCCCGAAAAGGTCAAGCGAAAGCCTCCACCGACCTAGGAGAAGGTCATGCGACACGGATTGTCCAATTGAGGGTCTTGCAACCTCCGTAGTGACCCCTGGTGTCGTTACTACCGTCACATTGGCCGAAATCTCCTGGTTTTCCAACGTTTCCGGCTGCTGCGAATCCACGTTCATCATCATATTTTCGCTCGTCGACTTCTGGACGTTACCCTACAAACGACCAGGGTTAAGGTGGTATCACTCAGAATTATCACACAACAGTTGAGCATAAACTTATAATTAACTTTAAATTTCTAAAATTGAAAAATTCAATTATTGAAGAACTGAAAACTCGAGAAATTGAAAAACTTACAATTTTAAAAATTGAAAACTGAGAAAACTCACAAAATTGAACGAAATATCCAAAAATTGGGAAATTAAAAAATTGGGAAATCGAGAAGCCGAAAAATTGCAAACCTAAAGAATCGAAAAATTGAAAAATCTGGAGCCTGAAAAATCGAAACCTTCGCAAGTCGAAAATGGGAAAACCAAAAAATATATTAATCGAAAAATTGGAAAACTGAAAATTTAGCAACGTCAAAAATTGTAAAATAGAAATACTGAAGAACTGGAAAATCAAAAAATCCAGAAATCGAAAAATCTAAAATTTAAAACATTGAACAATTGAAATATCGCAAAATTGAAAAATGGAAATCCAAACATCAAAGAATCAAAAAAGAAAAATTCGAAAATCTAAAACTTAAAAATCGACGAATCGAAACTCCAGAATTTAAAAAAATTGAAAAATCGGATAACTGAAAAATCGAAACATCGAAAAATTGGAAAACCGAAAAACCGAGAAATCCAAAAATCGAAACATCTGAATTCGATAAATCGAGAAAAAAAAAATGAAAAATTTTAAAAAAGAAAAATTAAAACATCGAAAAGTTGAAAAAAAATTAAGAAATCGAAGTATAAAACTGTGGAAAATTTGAGAAATCTCAAGTTTAACAAAAAGAAAATCCAAAAAGTAAAAAAGGGGTGGAAACCCAAAAACTGCAAACCGAAAAATTTTAAAATTGGAAAATCGACGAATTGGAATCGATTGGCCTGAAAATTTGAAAAATTGAATAAGCGAAAAATTGGAAGATCGAAAGGAACAACAAAAATTAAGGAAATGAAATAACAAAAAATTGTGATATAAAATCGAGAAAATGAAAAATAAAAAATCAGGAAAATGCAAAATAAAAATCGGGGAGTTGAAAAATTGAAAAAGGGCACAATTAAAAATCGAGAATGTGAAAAATGGAAAATGAGAAATTGTAATATTGAAAAACCTAAAGAATCGAAAAATAGAAAAATCTGGAGCCTGAAAAATAGAAAAATTGAGGAACTGAAAAACTTAAAAATCGAAAAGCCGAAAAGTAAAAAAACGAAAAACCGATAAATCGAAAAATTCAAAAACTGAGACAATCAAAACGTCGAAACGTCCGAATCTCGATAAATCGAGTTCTCAAAAATTTGAAAACTCGAAAAATTCACAAATCGAAATATATATAAAACAGTCGGAAATTGAAAAATCTGAAGTTTAAAAAACGAAAAACTGAAGAATTGAAGAACTGAAAAATCGAAACTGCGAATTCGAGAAACGGTAAAATAAAAAAAATATATATATTAATCGAAAAATCGGAAAACTGAAAATTTAGCAACGTCAAAATTTGAAAAATTGTGAAATGAAATACTGAAGAACTGGAAAATCGAAAAATCCAGAAATCGAAAAATCTAAAATTTAAAACATTGAACAACTGAAATATCGCAAAATTGAAAAATTGAAATCCAAACATCAAAGAATCAAAAAAGAAAAATTCGAAAATCTAAAACTTAAAAATCGACAAATCGAAACTCCAGAATTTAAAAAAATTGAGAAATTGATAAATTGAGCAATCAAAACATCCAAACATCTGAATTCGATAAATCGAGAAATAAAAAAAATTGAAAAATTTTAAAAAAGAAAAATTAAAACATCGAAAAGTTGAAAAAAAGTTAAGAAATCGAAGTATAAAAGTGTCGAAAATTTGAGAAATCTAAAGTTTAACGAAAAATTGAAAATCCAAAAAGTAAAAAAGGGGTGGAAACCTAAAAACTGCAAACTGAAAAATTTAAAAATTAGAAAATCGACGAATTAGAATCGATTGGCCTGAAAATTTGAAAAATTGAATAAACGAAAATTATGGAAATGAAAAAACAAAAATGTGATATAAAATCGAGAAATGAAAAATAAAAAATCAGGAACATGCAAAATAAAAATCGGGGAGTTGAAAAATTTAGAGGACGGAAAATTGAAAATGGGCACAATTAAAAATCGAGAATGTGAAAAATGGAAAAATGAGAAATTGTAATATTGAAAAATTGGAAAATTTGGAAGTCGACAAATTGTAAAATTGAAAAATCAAAAATAAAAAAACGAAAAAGTGTATAATGAAAACTTAAAAAATGTACAAAGTGAAAATCAAACTTGAAAATTTGAAGAAAAATTGAAAAAAAACTGAGAATTTGAAATATGGAATAAACGAGAAATTGTAAAATCGAAAGAAACAACAAAAAATAAAGGAAATGAAAAAAAAAGGAAAATTGTGATATAAAATCGAAAAAGTGAAAATGAAAAAATCGGGAAATTGAAAAATAAAAATCGGAAACAAAGAATTGGAAAGGGAAAAATGAAGAATTGAGAAACTGAAAAATCGAAACTGGGAATTCGAGAAACGGTAAAATAAAAAATATATATATATTAATCGAAAAACTGAAAATTTGGCAACGTCAAAATTTGAAAAATTGTAAGATAGAAATACTGAAGAACTGGAAAATCAAAAAATCCAGAAATCGAAAAATCTGAAATTTAAAACAATTAAAAAAAATATCGCAAAATTGAAAAATGGAGAAATCCAAACATCAAAGAATCAAAAAAGAACAATTCGAAAATCTAAAACTTAAAAATCGACAAATCGAAACTCCAGAATTTCAAAAAATTGAAAAATCGGATAACTGAAAAATGGAAACATCGAAAAATTGGAAAATCGAAAAACCGAGAAATCCAAAAATCGAAATATCGAGAAATAGAAAAAAATTGAGAAATTGAGCAATCAAAACATCCAACCAAACATCTGAATTCGATGAATCGAGAAATAAAAAAAATTGAAAAATTTTAAAAAAGAAAAATTAAAACATCTAAAAGTTGAAAACACATTAAGAAATCGAAGTATAAAACTCGAAAATTTGAGAAATCCAAAGTTTAACGAAAAATTGAAAATCCAAAAAGTAAAAAAGGGGTGGAAACCCAAAAACTGCAAACTGAAAAATTTAAAAATTGGAAAATCGACGAATTGGAATCGATTGGGCTGAAAATTTGAAAAATTGAATAAACGAAAAATTGTGATATAAAATCGAGAAAATGAAAAATAAAAAATCAGGAAATTGCAAAATAAAAATAGGGGAGTTGAAAAATTGAGGGGACGGAAAATTGAAAAAGGGCACAATTAAAAACTGAGAATGTGAAAAATGGAAAAATGAGAAATTGTAATATTGAAAAATTGGAAAATTTGGAAGTCGACAAATTGTAAAATTGAAAAATCAAAAATAAAAAAACGAAAAAGTGTATAATAAAAACAAAGTGAAAATCAAACTTGAAAATTTGAAGAAAAATTGCTAAAAACTGAAAATTTCAAAAATTTAATAAAGGAAAAATTGTAAAATCGAAAGAAACAACAAAAATAAAGGGAATCAAAAAAAAAAAGAAAAATATGATATAAAATCGAAAAAGTGAAAATTAAAAATAAAAATCGGAAACAAAAAATTGGAAAAGGGAAAAATGAAAAATTGAGAAACTGAAAATTCGAAAAATTGAAGAAACGAAAAATTGGAAAATCGAAACAAACAAAAAATAAATTGAAAAAATGAAAATTTGTGATATAAAATCGAAAAAGTGAAAATTAAAAAATCAGGAAAATGAAAAATAAAAACGGGAAACAAAAAATTGGAAAAGGGAAAAATGAAAAATTGAGAAACTGAAAAATCGAAAAATGAAAATCTGTAATATCGAAAAATTGCCAAATTGAAAAACTGATGCAACCGAAAAATTTAAGGAACGAAAAAGTGAAAAAAAAAATGTAATACAAATATGTATTATGAAATAGAAATATTTAAAATTAAAGAAATTGGAAAATCGGAAGACTGGAAATCCAAAAACTGCAAAGTGAAAAATTTTAAAATTGAAAAATGGACGAACTAAAAATTCAAAGCCTGAAAAATTGAACAAATTAAAAATTGTGAAATCGAAAAAAAAAAACAGAAAATAAAGGAAATGAAGAAACGGACAATTGTGATATAAATCGAGAAAATATTAAAATTAAAAATTCGCCACACTGAAAAATAAAAATCGGGAACAGGAAAAGTTGTGGAAACGAAAAATTGAGAAACTGTGAATTCGAAAAATTGAAAAATCGAAAGAAACAACAAAAATAAAGGAATTGAAATAATGGAAATTTGTGATATAAAATCGAAAAAGTGAAAATTAAAATATCGGGAAAATGAAAAATAAAAATCGGAAACAAAAAATTGGAAAAGGGAAAAATGAAAAATTGCCAAATTGAAAAACTGATCCAAACCGAAAATTGAAGGAACGAAAAAGTGAAAATTCTGGAAGTCGAGAAATTGTAAAATTGAAAAATCAAAAATAAAAAACGAAAAATTACAAAATGGAAACTTGAAAAATCTTAAGAATCGAAAAAGTGAAAAATCAAAAAAAAAAAAAAAGAAATATGTATTATGAAATAGAAATATTTAAAATTAAAGAAATTGGAAAATCGGAAGACTGGAAATCCAAAAACTGCAAATGGAAAAAATTTAAAATTGAAAAATGGACGAACTGAAAATTCAAAGCCTGAAAATTTGAAAAATTGAACAAATGAAAAATTATAAAATCGAAAAAAACACACAAATAAAGGAAATGAAGAAACGGACAATTGTGATATAAATCGAGAAAATAAAAATTAAAAATTCGCCACAATGAAAAATAAAAATCGGGAACATAAAAAATTGTGGAAACGAAAATTTGAGAAACTGAAAATTCGAAAAATTGTAGAAACGAAAATTTAAAAATCGAAAGAAACAACAAAAAATAAATGAATTGAAAAAATGAAAATTTGTGACATAAAATCGAGAAAACGAAAATTAAAAAAAATCGGGAAAATGAAAAATAAAAATCGAAAATCGGGAAACGAAAAATTGAAAATGACAAAAATTAAAAACTGAGAATGTGAAAAATCGAAAAATGAGAAACTGTAATATCGAAAAATTGCAAATCGAAAAATTGAAAAATTTAGAGTCAAGAAACTGTAAAATTGAAAAATCAAAAATTAAAAAACGAGAAAGTTTACGATGAAAACTTGAAGAATGTCAAAAGTGAAAATCAAGCATGAAAATTTGAAGAAACGAAAATTTGAAAAATCGAAAGATTACAAACTGAAAAACTTAAAATTCGAAAAAGTGAAAAATAAAAAAAAGAAATATGTATTGTAAAATCAAAAAATTAAAGAAATTGAAAACTTGGAAAACTGGAAATCCAAAAACTGCAAATTGAAAAATTTTAAACGTGGAATATCATGGAATTGAAAAATGAAAGCCTGAAAATTTGAATAAATAAAGAATTGTAAATCGAAAGAAACAAGACCTTGAAAAATTGAGGAAACGAAAAATTGAAAATAACAAAAATTAAAAACTGAGAATGTGAAAAATCGAAAAATGAGAAACTGTAATATCGAAAAATTGCAAAATAAAAAAATTGTAAATCGAAAAATTGAAAAATTTAATACAAGAGGGACAAAATATGTCTAATAAGGATTGTTAAAAAAAAAAACTGTCATCCTAAGTCAATTTCTCTCGTTTTTACAGGACATTTCAAATGGGATGACAACCCATTAACCGTGACGCTTTAACACAAACAACTGTACGCTTCGTATCTGTCCTCGGTTCAAAGCTCGACAAACCGAAGTCATCAGAAAGCAACCACTCTAGGACTTGCAAGTGAAACGTGGGCCAAACTCGACGCACACGTTCGTATCTCAGTCCACACTATCCCACTTACCATTGAAGATCCAGCCCGGACTATAACGCTCTTGCCCGGGCTCCTCGACAAGCTCGTCGAAGACATCAACGTCGCTTCTTGCGACGCGTCGTTGGACACCCCTTCCATCACCTCCGGATACGGCGCCTCGGTGGCCGCCTTCCTCGGCGACACGATGATCTGCGGCCTGGGGGCAGGCGCCTCTTGTTCCAAACCGATCGCCGCCAACAAGCTCGGCGCGACAAACGACGAAATCTCGTTCGTCTCGCCCGACGCCACATTCGCCGCCTCCTTGCTACTCTCACCGATTTCGTTCTTCACAGCCGCCAACAAACTCTCGAAAGTTTGGAAACCGCGACTTCGACTCCCCTCGGAGGCGGCGGCCACGTCAGTCTCGGTTTGCACGTGGACTTCACGCGCGTTCCGCGCCTCCGCGGACTCGCTACCAGGGTTGTAGCCTTGAGGGTACACCAAGGGGTTAGGACCCATCACGTTCAACGACTGCGAAATCGGGTGGTTCGCCTTAGCCGGGTGACTCATCGCGAAATCGCTAGTCCTCGTCGACAGACTCAGCTTAGTCGGAAGAGATTCCAGAGGGTTGTTCGATATTCCACCTACAACACGACAACAAAAGTGGCGCAGTCGCAAGCATTTTCACCAAAAATCATCACTCACCCGTCGACGTCAAAGTAATCGGCTGCTTCGGAATCCCGAACAAGTCTTCTCTTCTGGCGTTCGGCTGCAGCAAGTGCGGTTGGTCGGCTAGAGGCAGCGCCTCCGACATGGGGGTTTCGAACGGGTCCGGGGGCGGGCACCCCAAACACAACGTCGACTCCGACCTCTGGAAGAACGAATGCTTGCGTCCTTTCCCTGACCCTCCTTGAAGGCTCGACGAGTTCAGCGCGCTCGAAATGGTCGCCAGGTTCGACACGTCTTGGTCTTCGAGCGACTCGGTCTCCATCGCTACAGCGATGTCTTCTTCGGCTTCTTCGTTCTCGTTTTCGTCTTGGTCGTTCCATAGCGGGAGCGAGAATCCCTCGCGTCGCAAGTCGCTGTCGCCCCGGTCCGACGTGCCCGATCTCATGTAGTAGATCAGGGCGTCGAAGACGTAGGCGACGTGTTTGAGCGCGGACACGTCCAGGATGGGTAAAGAGTCCAAGTGTTCGTTGTTGTGGGCGCGCATCAACGATAAACAATAGGAGAGGAATTCGCGTCTGGCGGCGTGCGCGTCCACGCCGTCGCGTTCCGGACGGGTTCGGCTGCTCTCGACGTTGGTCGTGAAGCCGACCAATCGCGTGTTGGTGTTGCCCGAGATGGCGTGGCCGCGGTGGCTGCTCGAACGAAGACTGCTCGAGCTGTTAGCCGTGACTGGAAAAAACAGACGATTGTTAAATGGGGTCTGAGTTTGAGTTTTCGTGGCTAGAATGTGTTACTTGGCCGAGTCTGTTTCCTATCTTTTGTTTTGTGAGTTTGAGTTTAAAGCTTAAAAAATAGGAATCGGGTTGGCCGATAAAGGTGTATAAAACTGGGGGTTAGTAAATAAAAGCGTTAATAAGCAAAAGACCTAAAGAAGCCAAGCGTCGAGTAGGTTGATTGGGGTGCCCACCTCCTGCACTTATTCCGGTGGTGTTGAGAGGGTGACCGGGGCTGGATGGGTCCAGTGAGTTGGTGAGGGAGGCGCCGAATTTTAGCTGGGCTTCGGTGGCGTCCATTACGGTTAGTAGCCAGTCCCACGTGGGTTTTAGACGGAACTCCAAGTAGATCTATATTAAAAAAATGCAAAAATTAAAATTGGTCCAGGTTATAAATAGAACTTCCCTCGCCCCTGAAGCACAAGCAAATAGACCCAGTTTCTAATTTATTACGTATTATTAATTATACTGCAATTTTTGTATTATAAATTATTTTGTACATGTTTCAAGTTTTAATAAACAACAAAGTCTACAAAAAAAAATATAAAATAAGAGTCAAAAAACGCCTGAAAAAACGACGGTACGATAAGATAAAGGCGAAGAGAAAATCCTATGATAAAGGTGACAAAAAAAAAAAAATCGGACCCAAAATACGACAAAAAAAATTGGTCTAAAGAGTTTAGACAGTACTTCCCTCGCTGTCGGAAACTTGACGACTGCATGCCTATTGTGTTTTTTTTCTCATTACATTTTTGTAGTGGGAAATTAAAAAAAAATTGCGATGGCGTCATCAACATTTTTGCAAGGACACGTATATCAGTTGGGATAGATGTAGTGCAATACTAAGAATAAAATTATTATATTCTCAAATTTTCGGGAAAATGAATTGGGTCGTTTTGAATATTGATTTGTAATAATCAATAAAATAACGAAACAATTTACTCACGTATACCTACGTATCAGAGGCAACTGAAAATCGTGTATGTATAAACATTCTTAATTTAAGATGACAGGCGTAACAGCATACATGAGAGCCAAACAGAGAAACTGTAAACAAAACGACCGTCGGTTTTATTGCTTCGACTTCCGCTTATTATATAAAACATTGGGTTTTATTTTAATTCTTGACGGTGAAATTCACAATTGGTTGATTATAAACATGTCTATTTCACATTCGCGGAACCAAGTGAACGAATAAAACAAATGCAGGTCTGTAATGTTAAAGTCGATGTAAATAAGCGTGCTACCCTTATGTTTCAACCGAGTTTTTCCTTTAACAAATTTTGTGTCTACCAAATTGGGTTGGTTGGGGTGTAATACTAATAATAAGTGTTGCCTTTAATTTAATCAATAAAATAAATTGACTTCATTAATTTTTTTGAACCACCTCTTAAGAAAATCTAAAAAATTAGAATGGAATGATAAATCACAAGTACAAACTCATCATATTTTTTGCATTTTAGATAGGATTTATTCAGCAAAATTTAAGGGTGACGTCATCAATTTTTTTAGGAGGGATGAACAAATACATTTTGAACAAAAGTTTACCATGCTTATAATAACTTTAAAATATTCCCAAGATTTCAAAGCATTCGGTTTTTTAATTCCTGATTAAATCGATAAAATAAATTCACGCCTTCATTAATTTTTTTGAGTCACCCTGCATATGCAAATCCAAAAATATGATTGGAATGATAAATCACAAGTACAGATTCATCATATTTTGTACATTTTAGATAGGATTTTTTCAGCAAAATTTTGTGGTGACATCATAATTTTTTTAGGGGGGACGACCAAATACGTTTTGATCAAAAATTTACCATGCTTATGATAATTTTAAAATGTCTTCAAGATTTCGAAGCATTCGGTTTTGTAGTTCCTGAGTAAATCAGTAAAATAAATTTACGCTTTCATTTATTTTCTTGAATCACCCTGTATATGCAAATCCAAAAAATATGAATGGAGTGATAGATCACAAGTACAGACTGATCATATTTTGTACATTTTAGATATGATTTATTCGGCAAATTTTCGAGCTGACGTCATCAAGTTTTTGGAGGGGATAAGCAAATATATTTTGACTAAACATTTATTATGCTCTTTATAACCTTAAAACATGTGCAAGATGTCAGAGCATTCCGTTTTGTAGTTCCTGATTAAATCAATAAAATATATTTACGCATTCATTAATTTTTTTGAGTCACTCTGTATATGCAAATCCAAAAAATATGAATGGAGTGATAAATGACAAGTACAGGCTCATCATATTTTGTACATTTTAGATATGATTTATTCGGCAAACTTTCGAGCTGACGTCATCAAGTTTTTGGAGGGGATAAGCAAATATATTTTGACTAAACATTTATTATGCTCTTTATAACCTTAAAACATCTGCAAGATGTCAGAGCATTCCGTTTTGTAGTTCCTGATTAAATCAATAAAATATATTTACGCATTCATTAATTTTTTTGAGTCACTCTGTATATGCAAATCCAAAAAATATGAATGGAGTGATAAATGACAAGTACAGGCTCATCATATTTTGTACATTTTAGATATGATTTATTCGGCAAACTTTCGAGCTGACGTCATCAAGTTTTTGGAGGGGATAAGCAAAGATATTTTGACTAAACATTTATTATGCTCTTTATGACCTTAAAACATCTGCAAGATTTCAGAGCATTCGGTTTTGCAGTTCCTGATTAAATCAATAAAATATATTTACGCATTCATTAATTTTTTTGAGTCACCCTGTAGATGCAAATCCAAAAAATATGAATGGAGTGATAGATCACAAGTACAGACTCATCATATTTTGTACATTTTAGATATGATTTATTCCACAAACTTTTGAGCTGACGTCATCAAGTTTTTGGAGGGGATAAGCAAATATTTTTTGACTAAAGATTTATGATGCTCTTTATAGCCTTAAAACATCTGCAACATTTCAAAGCATTCTGGTTAGCAGATTAAAAATTAAATTTCAAAATGTTGTTTTATAATTTTGATTTTTTTTCCAAAAATCTGGACGTTTCGGGTGAAAAGTCGATTCAGAGTTGTAAACTACATGTGTAGGACTATGTTATTTTATGCAATTGAAAACCCATTTACTATGTACAATTTTGAAGTGACGTCATCGCATTAGTGGTGCGGATGATTAGACAAATTTTGGTTAGCGTTTTATCATCTACATGATATTCTTAATATAAGTACAAAATTTTACAACAATCGGTCGAGTACTTTCGGAGATTATCTGTCTAATAAAAATCCGGGACGGCAGACGGACAGACGGACAGACAGACGGAAATGGGAGATCTATTTCTTCGTCTTCTAGGGGTCATGAAAGATCGAGAATACGTAAAAGTAGAGAGTCGGCCGACGGACTCGATTACAATACTTCCTTTGCTTACGCTCGGGAAGTAAAAATGACCCCAAAAAGTCAACAAACAAAGGGAGACACAATTGAATAAAAATTCAACAAAAGATACACCAAAAAGGCGAAAAAAAAACTTTAAAAAGCCACAAAAACTGCATAAAAAACTAAGAAAATCCTAATTAATCCTAATTAAAAAAGCATGTCAAAAAAAAGTAAAAAACAATGAACAAAAAGAGACAAAGTATGGGAGATAAAAGTAAAAAAAACCCACATAACAGTGAGTAAAGGAGGCACAAATGGTGAACAAAGAAAATCAAGAAACTAAAAAAAATCAAAAAAGGCAAAAAATGTCAACAAAGACGCAAAACGTTCAAAAGTTACAAAATCGAAAACTGATTAAACAAACAACTGAATGATCCAACAGTTGAAAAAACTAAAAATTGAAGAAACGAAAAAATGGAGAATTCAAAAAATTCAAAAAGTGAAAAATCGAAAAACTGAAACTTGGAAAATTTGAAAAATAAAAAACTGAAAAATTTGTCAATTGAGGAAATTAAAAAATTAAACAATTCAAAGGTTGAAAACTGAAAAAATTAAAAGTGGACAAAAAAATTGTGGAAAAACTAAAAAATGCTTTAAAACAAAGGCGAACAAAGAACACTGGATAAAAAAAAAGCGCACAAAAAAACAACAAGGAAGACCATTAAAAAACGTGAAAGGTAAAAGGACCAAAAGCCACAAAAAAATGCAACAAAAAAACCGCTATAAATGAAAGGTGATAAAAAATGAGACAAAAGATACGACAAAAAAGTCCAAAAACAAACGGAAAAAAATGTAAACAAAAAATGTGAACAAAATTAACAATGAACCGAGAAACTTGAAAAAAAAACTACCAAAGGATATAGAAAACGACAACAAAGTGAACAAAAAAAAGCAAAGGAGAAACAAAACTGAAAAAAAATCAACAAGGTCACAAAAATAAAAAAATGCATGTAAAAAACAAAAATGCACAAAAAAAACAATGAAGAGCTATAAAAAATCGACTAAAAATGTGTCAAAAATCAACAAAAGGTCAACCAAGAAGAGGAAAAGAGGACACAAAAAATGAACAAAGAAAATCGGACACAAAATACGGACCCAAGAAAAATCAACTACAGCCACAAAAAGTCAACAGAGACAAAATTGAACAAAAATTTGACCAAAGACCCCAGAAGGCGAAAAAGAACTTTTTTAAAAAATAGAAAAACTGCACAAACTAAAAAAAATAATGTGGTGAAAAAAAAAGGTAAACAACGAAAACTAAATTATAAAAGTACACAAAAAAAATCAAGGCCATAAAAAAGATGAAAAGGGAAGAAAAAAGATCGAAAAAAAAACGAACAAAAAAATCAAAAAAAAGGGGGAAACGAAAAATACAACAAAAAATTAGCACAATAAGAAAAAAAACAACTAAAACCACAAAAACTTAAAAAGCCACAAAAAAGTCAAGCAAATAAGGGGTGACGAGTTTGAAGAAAAATTTAATAAAAAAATTAAGAAGTTGAAAAATTCATTAAACAAAAAACTGAATAATGCGAAAAACTTGAAAAAATTAAAAATTGAAGAAACGAAAAATTTTAAAATCAAAAAATTTATAACTTGAAAAAATACGACAAAAAATCGACTACAAATATAACCAAAACAAGGATAAAGAGAGACAAAATTGGAAAAAAACCGACAAAAAAGCAAAAAAAAAGGTGAACAAAGAAAATCGGACCCAAAATACGACAAAAAAAAAATCAACTAAAGCTACAAAAGCCAACAAAAAAACAAAAGAAGACACAATTGAATAAAAATTCAACAAAAGATACCCCAAAAGGCAAAAAAACTTTTTAAAAAGCTACAAAAACTGCACAAAAAACAAAGAAAATTCTAATTAAAAAAGGAAAAAGGTAAAAAACAATTAACAAAAACAGACAAAGTAGGGGAGATAAGTTAAAAAAAACACAAAAAAATGAGTAAAAGGGACAAAAACGGTGAACAAAGAAAATCAAGAGAAAAAAGCCATAAAGAATTGGACAAAAAAAAAACAAAAAAAGCCAAAAAATGTGACAAAAAACTCAACAAAGACGCAAACAAGATTGAAGAAAAATTGTACAAAAATATTAAAACATCGAAAATGTTCAAAAGTTGGGAAATCGAAAAATTGAAACATTTAAACTCCGAAAATTTTAAAAATTTGTCAATTGAAAAAATTAAAAAATTAAACAATTCAAAGGTTGAAAACTGAAAAAATTTAAAAGTTGACAAAAAGATTGTGGAAAACCAAAAAATGCTTTAAAAAAACAGGTAAATAACAAAAGACTACAATGGGGAAAAAAATCGTAAAAAAGCAAAAAAAAGGCGAATAAAGAACACTGGATAAAAAAAAAGTGGAGAAAAAAAATTACAAGGAAAACCATTGGAAAACGCGAAAGGTAAAAGGACCAAAAGCCATAAAAAATGCAACAAAAAAACCGTTATAAATGAAAGATGATAAAAAATGAGACAAAAGATGCGATAAAAAAAGCCCAAAAAAAACGAACAAAAAAAGTGGAAACAAAAAATGTGACAAAAAAAAAGGAAAGAAAAAATTAACAATCAACAGAGAAAGTTAAAAAAAGACTACAAAAGGATATAGAAAACGACAACAAAGTCAACAAAAAAAGCAAAGGAGAAACAAAATTGAAAAAAAAATCAACAAGAAACGACAAAAAACCGAGAACAAAAAAGGTCACATAAAAAAAATTAAGAGCTAAAAAAAAATCGACTAAAAATATGTGTCAAAAAGCGACAAAAGGTCACCCAAGAAAAAGAAAAGAGGACACAAAAAATGAACAAAGAAAATCGGACACAAAATACGGACCCAAGAAAAATCAACCAAAGCCACAAAAAGTCAACAGAGATAAAATTGAAGAAAAATTTAACCCAAGAAAGCGAAAAAGAACTTTAAAAACAGAAAAACTGCACACACTACAAAAAAATACCACCAAAAAAAGCCAAAAACAATAAATAAAAAGACAGTAGAGGAGACAAAAGTTAAAAAAAAGAGACAATAAAGTGGTAAAAAAAAGGTAAACAAAGAAAACTAAATTATAAAAGTACACAAAAAAACCAAGGCCATAAAAAAGGTGAAAACGGAAGAAAATAGATCGAAAAAAAACGAACAAAAAAAAACAAAAAAGGGGGAAACGAAAAATACAACAAAAAATTAGCACAATAAGACAAAAAAAAAACAACTAAAACCACAAAAAAGTCTAGCAAATAAGGGGAGACGAGATTGAAGAAAAATTTAATAAAAAAATTAAGAAGTTGAAAAATTCATTAAACAAAAAACTGAATAATGCAAAAACTTGAAAAAATTCAAAATTGAAGAAACGAAAAATTTTAAAATCAAAAAATTTAAAAGTTGAAAACTGAAAAAATTTAAAATTCGACAAAAAAATTACCCAAAAGATGAAAAAACTAAAAATTGCAAAAAAAAACACCACCAAAAAAAAGTGACAAAATAATTAAAAAAAACAGGTAAATAACGGAAGGGAAAAATGAGAAAAAATCGATAAAAAAAGCAAAAAAAAAGTGAATAAAGCAAACTGAATTATAAAAGTACACAAAAAAAATCAAGGCCATAAAAAAGGTGAAAAGGGAAGAAAAAAGAGAGAAAAAAACGAACAAAAAAATTAAAAAAAAATGGGAAACGAAAAATACGACAAAAAAATAACTAAAACCACAAAAACTTAAAAAGCCACAAAAAAGTCAAGCAAACAAAAAACTGAATAATGCAAAACTTGAAAAAAATTAAAAATTGAAGAAACGAAAAATTTAAAAATCAAAAAATTTACCAAAGCCACAAAAAGTCAACAGAGACAAAATTGAAGAAACATTTAACCAAAGACCCCAGGAAGCGAAAAAGAACTTAAAAAAAAAATCAGAAAAACTGCACAAACTAAAAAAAAATCCCACCTAAAAAAGCATGTCAAAAACAATACACAAAAAGACAGTAGAGGAGACAAAAGTTCAAAAAAAAGACGACAATATGGTGGTAAAAAAAAAGGTAAACAAAGAAAACTAAACAAGCATTTTTTTTTGTTTTTTAATTTTTTTGCGACCTTTTTTGTGCGATCTTTGTTCTCGTTTTTTTTTGCTGTTAAAAGTTGAAAACTGAAAAAATTTTAAATTCGACAAAAAAATTATCCAAAAGGTGAAAAACCTAAACAATACAAAAAAAAAAAAACACCACCAAAAAAATGTGACAAAATAATAAAAAGAAAACAGATAAATAATGGAAGAGAAAAACGGGAAAAAATCTATAAAAAAAGCAACAAAAAAGGTGAATAAAAAACACTAAATAAAAAAAGTGGACAAGAAAAACAATTTATTAGAAAAAACGAAATGTAAAAGGACCAAAAAACATACAAAAAAAACGCTATAAATGACAGTTGATAAAAAAAGGTAAAAAAAATACGACAAAAAACTCAAAAATCGAAAAAAAAAGTGGAAACAAAATACGACGAAAAAAATGACCCCAAAAAAGGGAAAAAAACTAAAATATGTAGCAACAGAAATGCTCCAAAAACTTGAAGAAAAAAATACAAAAGAATATAAAAAACGACAGTAAAAAAGGACGTAAAAAAAAAAAGTAAAAAAAAAACAATGAACGAAAAGAGGCAGACTGGGAGAGACAAAAATTGGTAAAAAATGGGGGTAAAGAAAGGGTGAACAAAGAAAACTAAATTAAAAATTACACAAAATAACCATAAAAAAAGCCAAAAAGGCGACAAAAAATGCAATAAAATATGCCAAAAAATTTAAAAAAGGACACAAAACGATAAAAAAAAAACGTGAAACGATAAATAAGACAACAATCAACAACTAAAATAACAAAAACTTAAAAAATCACCTAAAAAGGTATCAAAAAGTGATAAAAAGCCGACAAAAATTACAAATGTGGGGAGACAAATTCGAGAAAAAAAAATCGATAAAAGGAGGCAAAAACGGTGAACAAAGAAAATTAAAGAGAAAAAAAGACACAAAAAAAAACATAAAAAATGTGACAAAAAAAGTCAAGCAAGATTGAAGAAAAATTCAATAAGAAAATTAGAAAATCGAAAACGTTCAGAAACGAAAAATTAAAAAATCAAATAATTCAAAAAGGTGACAAATAGAAAAATTGGAACATTTAAAACTAAAAACTCGGAAAAATTGAAAAAAAAAAGGGAAAAATCTGTTAATTGAAAAAATTTAAACTTCGACAAAAAATTACTAAATAGGTGAAAAAATTAAAAAATACTTCAAAAAAAGAACTATCGACAAAACAGTAAAAAGAAAACAGGTAAATAATGGAATACAAAAATGAGAAAAAATCAACAAAAAAAAAAGCAAAAAAGTAATTAAAAAAAAAACAAAATTACCAAGAAAGTCCATAAAAAGCCAAAAGGGCGACAAAAATGCGATAAAAAATGCAAAAAAAAAATTAAATAGGACAAAAAACGATCAAAAAAAAAGGTAAAAAAAACGGGAAACGATAAATACAGCAAAAAATTACCCACAAAAATAAGACAAAAACAACTAAAATAACAAAAACTTAAAAAGGTGATAAAAAGCCGACAAGAAATACAAATGTGGGGGAAATAAATTCGAGAAAAAAAAAATCGATAAGAGGCAAAGAAAATTAAAGAGAAAAAAAGACACAAAAAAACATAAAAAATGTGACAAAAAAAGTCAAGCAAATAAGGGGAGACAAGATTGAAGAAAAATTCAATAAGAAAATTAGAAAGTCGAAAACGTTCAGAAACGAAAAATTAAAAAATCAAATAATTCAAAAAGGTGAAAAATAGAAAAATTGCAACATTTAAAACAAAAAACTCGGAAAAATTGAAAAATAATGGGAAAAATCTGTTAATTGAAAAAATTTAAAATTCAACAAAAAATTCCTAAATTGGAAAAATTAAAAAATAGTTCAAAAAAAAACTATCGACAAAATAGTAAAAAGAAAACAGGTAAATAATGGAAGACAAAAATGGGAAAAAATTGACCAATAAAAAGCAAAAAAGTAATTAAAAAAAAACACAAAATTACCAAGAAAGTCCATAAAAACCCAAAAGGACGACAAAAATGTAATAAAAATGCCAAAGAAATTAAAATAGGACAAAAAACGATTAAAAAAAAGGTAAAAAAAAAAAAACGGGAAACTATAAATACGACAAAAAATTACCCACAAAAATAAGACAACACTAAACTAAAATAACAAAAACTTAAAAAGGTGATAAAAAGCCGACAAAAAATACAAATGTGGGGGAGACAAATTCGAGAAAAAAAAAAACATCAAAAATGTGACAAAAAAGTCAAGCAAGGGGAGACAAGATTGAAGAAAATCAAATAATTCAAAAAGGTGAAAAATAGAAATATTGGAACATTTAAAACTAAAAACTCGGAAAAATTGAAAAATAAAAAAGGGAAAAATCTGTTAATTGGAAAAATTTAAAATTCGACAAAAAATTACTAAATGGGTGAAAAAATTAAAAAATACTTAAAAAAAACTATAAAAAAGCGACAAAATAGTAAAAAGAAAACCGGTAAATAATGGAAGACAAAAATGGGAAAAAATCGACAAAAAAAAAACACCTCAAAAATCGGAAAAAAGTCGAAACAACATACGAACAAAATGCTCGAGAAACCTAAAAAATACTACAAAAGGATATAAAAAACAAAAAAGAACAAAAATCGTACAAAAAAAGTCACAAAAAAATTATTAAAAAAAGTGGAAGAAAAAAATAACTGCATGTGTCCAAAACGACAACAATGCACAAAATAAAAAAAAAAAAAGTTAAAAAAAGGGGCTACAGAAAGCCACAAAAAAATGCATTATATTTCTAAACCACAAATAGAGCAATTTGTGCTTTTTTGCCATAAAATGTTACTACTAAAATAATAAATCACCTACCTGAATGTTATATATATCATCTTGCGACACTTCCATATGAGCCACGCTGGATAAGGCTTGGTTCAGATCGGGCAGCGACGAGAGTAAATCAGTAATTTGGCGAATGATGGCACCTGAAGCATCGCCATTAGTAAGAGCATTACACACTAAATCAGCCTTGCTACCGCCGGACACGAAATACACAATTTCCAAACACAACTCGCTGTTACATGCCTGACGAGCACACCGTAATCAACCAAAAAAACATACATCCCCAAAATTTGTAACTCGTATTTCACACCCGACGTCGCAAGGCCGTCCAGCCTGACAAAACTACATAAAAATCCAATTACCGAAGGCCCTCGCCAACGAGCTCGCCGACGTCGACATGGCAACCGGTTCCGAGCTGGCCGCCACCGCCGTGCTTCCTGTGGTAGATCGCCTTAACGAACTGGGGTCAATAAAAACTAAATTAGAACCGTTGGCCAACCGGACCCCCGCCGATCTGCTTGCTTCACGTGATCGTATAGCCCACTGCATATTCTGCGGGGCCAAATTGCTGCGCTGTCCGTGGCCGGTCGTATTGCTGTAACGGCTTCTTTCATAGACAATAATCAGAATAATGAGAACACAAACACAACAATCGGTATAATAAAAACCAAAATAAATAAATAAATGAAAAAATAATGCGAAAAAAGGGACCGACTCCTCTGACTCGCCACCGACAAAGCAAGACTGGATAATTACCTCCGTCTCTCGAGCTGCTCGTCCGTGAGGGTGTAGTCCTCCGTGTCCTGCTCGTCCGTCTCGCCGGCCTCGCTCTCCTCCTCCTCCTGCTGGCTCGACTCGCCGCTCTCGTCTTCCGGGAACAGCAGCATACCTCCTGATGAGTTACACAAAAATGCATACACATGCAATCAATCCAGTGTGGCTCAGAAGGCACCGTGATTAAATTTAACAAAAACGAATTCAAGTGACGATTCCGTGGGCTCCCCAACCACACTGCAGTCTCTCCCACCGTTCACCCAGCCACCCCGAACACGACTTACCTGTGTCTGACCCGGCCGTCGCCCCGGTTTGTACCGACCGCTGAGCCGAAGCCGCGTCCTGGTTACTATGATTATCGTCACTGTCGCTCTCGGTCTCAGCCAGAAGGTCCAACTCCGGGTCGCTCTCCTCCCCTTGAATCCCACGGTTTTCCTGTGGGTAGGGTGCCGCCTCTACGGTTTCGTTTTCGTTCAGCGACGACTGCCGAACCGTAATCGGCAACTCTCGGTCGGCGGGGACGTCCTCGTGCTCGGAGGCGTTGTCGTCGTCGTTATCGATAGCCATGCTTTCGCCGTCGTTCACGTTATTTAGTAAATCTCGAGCGTTGGCGGCGGCGCGGCGTACCGCCTCCGCCAGAAACGGGAATCTGGGCATGGACGAAGACCCACTGGAGCGCGAACTGGAAGGCGCTAGCGGATCCACCAAAAATAGTTCTTCGGAACCGTTTAAAATGTCGCTCACGGAAGTGGCAAGCGAAAATGGCGCAGTCGGTCGAGCTACACCGAGTCGGACCGGAGCCATGATTGCGTCTGCGCTCTCACACAATTCCTCAATCGAGAGTTTAGACAAAGCTTGGAATATCTTCCTACACTTCGTCAACGGTTGATTTTGGTTGCTTAAGCTGCGTCTCTTGGTGGAATTGGGTGCCATTTCTATAGTAAACACGACGAAGATGCGCACCACGGATCTGACGAAACGTCTTGACACCATAGTCGCGTATTGTGATTGTTTCAAATCTGGATTTTTCATCTCTCGGATTAGAGTCTCGAGGAGGACGTCCATGACCATTTGACACTTGACGAGGAAACAAAGCGAGAATTTGTCCAACAACGCGGTGCCAGTTTGTTTCGAGACGTACGGTTGATCGTTGAATTGTGTCTCAGACACGTCTCTAGTCCCCGACATTATCATACTCTGCACCGCCTTCCAGTCACCCAGCAGACACTCCAGAGCCCGCCGACTAAACCTAGGTGGCTCTAAATCGTGCTCGGGCATATCCGTCTCGACTGAAACACAAGAACGCAAAGAAAAATTGCTAGATTGAGAACTATTAGCAACATTCATCTCACTGTCAGACGATGGTGTTTTGTTTCGGGAGTTGGCAGAAGCCGTCCTGGGTCTGGTGTGTCTAAACTGGCGCTGTTCTTGGTTCTGGCGACCCACGGTTTGCACCAGGAACAACAGGATGCTTTCACCGCGCGAATTCGGCAGACAAACCAAATCGGTTTCTTTAACCAGACGCGTGAGAAGCTCGAATCGGACGGTCTGGTTGCCCATGATCAGAGCCTTACACTTGCACTTCTCCCAGCAGTCGCAGTAGGCTGTAGGCGAGGTTCTCTTGAGCTTGCAGTCGTGGCCTTTGTGGCAGACGCGGGCGCATTCGGTGCAGCAACACAGGGTGCCGGTGAGGCCGCAAGTGCGACACTCGAATATGTCCTAGAATACACATTATTTTAAAACTCGCGGCATTCAGGCAAGACTTGGTTACAAGACTCTATTTCTGATTCCGAAATTTTCCCTCCTCACTTATATACAATTTTTAGATGTGACCGTAATTATAATGCATTGAACTTGTCCAGAGGAGGTGGTGTTTTGATTGCTTTGAGAACCCATATACCTGTGACAATTGTTGATTTAAGTCAATTACGGAATGATCTAGATATGATTTGTAGGTTGTAAATGTTTTTTAAATGGTACCTTTTTACACATTTTTGTTGTTTATTTTTGTGGAACTCCATCACTTAATGAGTTGTTAAGGTTTTGTGAATATTTTGAAGATAACTTTAATACAAATGAAAATTTCTTATTACTGGGTGACTTTAACCATTGTTTAAGTATATTATAGTTGGACAACCTAATAAAAATGTTACTTCGCCTAAATAGTGAGCTTTAGGACAAGGAATCCAGGGGGCGTGGGACAAATTTTTCGTCAACGCGCATTTTCACTACAGTTTTAGGTTTATTTTACTCTAAATCAGATGGCGCCATCAAACATTAGCAAAGGCAAACACCCTTCACTCTGCTCTTATACGAGGAGTTATCCATAAATCCATAATTAACATTGTTCCGTAAACAGTAATGTGTATAAACATATGTGTACAAAATATGGAAATATACTTGACATAAAAAATATGAAGCAACGCGTTGTAACGTGATAAGAAAGAATTGAATTTAAATGAATTTGACGCATATTTTTATTTGACTATATCTGAAGACTGACAGAAACTTTCCAAGGGTTTTTAAACTGGTATAATTGTTTAGTTGTACAAGATTAAAGTAAAACAAGATTTTAAGTAAAATTTAGATTCGTGGTGTTACAAAAATATTAACACAAAATGAAAATATATGTTCAAAGTAAATAACAGAATGACATAAACTTTCGGCGTTAAATTACAAATAATTACAAGAGAGAAAAAAACGCATAAAGAACTTAAGAGGCATGTTTGTAATATCGAGTTGTTAAAGGCTGCTTTGAAGACTGTTTGTTTCTATGAAAAACAATTGCTGTTATCGGACACTTTGGTAGATTTTGTGCCAAAAATACGAGATAACTAATTGTTTCTTGAACTAGTTTCCGTAACTTCTAAAATTTAAAAAGGATACGCCGTTCTGCTGTAATAAAATCTAGAATAAGGTCAAAATCACACTAATATTACATCTGATTTTGTTAACCACATGAATATAATTTACATTAAAATAAGTTACAGACATTGTTTGAAATGTTTATTATAGTTCGAAAACAAGATAAAATAAATAAATAAATAAATAAAATGTGCAGTTTATAAACTTCAGAATTTTAGTATAAAAATAATCATGTTTGAAGCTTTATTTTGTTCCATTTTATTGGGTGTATTGGGCCCCTCTCGGGATATAACACCGACATCAGTGCACCGACCCAACGTTCTTCAACCGATGGGATGATTTATTACTTCCGCTATGCTGGCCCTACACACAGCGATTTGGTTTTCGGATTTTCGGCTAGATCTGCACAGTTAACTCTTTGCGCACTGCACACTGACAGAGTATTTTGTTCACGGGAGCATCAAAAATATTACGCCGAAAGCACTTCTTCAAGTATTATTTTTTTTAAGATGTAATATTTGTCAGCGTTTCCAAAATTTTCTTCTTTGCACAGGTCAACTGATTTTTCGTAAACCGCATTTTAAAATTTTTGTTATTGTATTTTTTACTTTTTAATTTTCTAAGGCATGAAAAAATCCCATATAGGTTTCTATGAATTTATTAACGAAATCAACTGATAACTTGCGCGCCATTTTGTGTTAATTAACACCAATAGTGATTATGATAATTTTATAATTATCATTTTAATGAAATTGTGTTCTTCACTTCGCGAACGACAGCAAATAATTTAAAATTACCGCTAGTCAAGCACCTGAAAATCCATCTCTCCCAAATATGTCTTTCTTGACACGATTTGTAATCCGAAGTCTCCCTTCACATGCAATTTTTCTTCGCCTGAGAACTTGTTTGATCTACAGACCAAAGCACACTCAGGCCAATATCGGCTTTAAGCGATTTATCTATAAACCGATATTCGTTAGAGTTGATCTGATACACATCCACTACGAAGAACTAACCCATTTCGACGATTGGACTTTACAACGAATAAGTGAACAAAGTTCTTGAACATTTTAACGATTTAATACATAATGTTCCCGAATGACAAAATTTACATTTCAAATTGTATTATTAAATTACACTCTCCAAAATTTGTCACGAACAATGAAATGACGCAATCTCCAAATTTTACAATAGTAAAATTGCAGTTTCGCCCCGTTTACGGTTAATGCATCCGTGTTTTCACCTTGGACGTCAAGATTTTTGGAAAAAAAAATCAACATTTTCCAATTTATAATGTTATGTATTTAAATTTTAAAAAGTAGAATAGTCCTGATCTTGTGATTTATACCTAAATACGCTATTGGGATTTTTCGGCTTGTCGATTTCTCGATTTTTCAACTTTAAATGTCTCAATTTTTCAATATTTCAATTTTGGGCTTTTCGGATTCCTCCCCATTCCTCAAATTTTATATTTCTCGATTTTTTTATTTTTCGATTTCTCAATCTTACGATGTTTCAATGATACGATTTCTCAATTTTTGTCCTCTTCAATTTTAGGGTTTTTAAATATTTCGATTTTTCAATTTTTCAAATTTTCACGTTTCTAAATTTTCAGTTTGCCGATTTCTAAAGTATTTTTTTTATTTGTCCATTTCTGGATTTCCTAAAATTTCGATTTTTCACATCTTCAATTCCTCAATTTTTCGATTTTTTAAGATTACGATTTTTAAATTTTGCTTTTTTAGATTTTCGATTTCTCAATTTTCCAATTTTTTAATTTCTCAATTTTTTTAATATTGCTTTCAGTTATGAGATTTTTCAATATTTATTTCTCGCCTTTTTCCTTTTTGGATTTTCAATTTATTGTAAACTTTAGATTTTTCAATTCTGGGACTGTTTAATGCTTCGATTTCTCAATTTTTAAACTTTTCGATGTTTTAATATTTCATTTTTTAAAATTCTAGGTTTTCCGATATCTCGAGTTTTCAGTTCTTCTATATTTCAATTTTTCGATTTTTTGAATTTTAATTTTTGATTTTCCAGTTTTTCTTTTTTAAAATTTTTCGATTATTAAATTTTTTAATTTCTCAATTTATCGAATTCAGATGTTTCGTTGTTTTGATTATTCAATTTCTCAATTTTTAACTTTCCCTTTCGGCTTCCGACTCCTCAATTTCTCGATCCTCCGATTTTTCGATTTCTCGAAGTCTTAGTTTTTGAATTTTTCAATGTTTCGATTTTTGTATTTCTCGGTTTTTCGATTTTTTTCTTTTGAGCTTTTCAATTTCTGGATTTTCCAATGTTTCAATGCCCCGATTTTTCAATTTTTCAAATTGAATTGGATTTCTCGATTCTTCAATTTTGCGATATTTTAATTATTCATTGTTTTAAATTTTAGTTTTTTCGATTTCTCGATTTTTTGACTTTTCAGTTCTTCAGTATTTAAATTTTTCAATTTTTCAAATTTTTGCGTTAAATTTTCAGTTTTCTGATTTCTCAATTAATCTATTTTTGATTTTCCCACTTCTCAAAGTTTCGATTTTTCAGTTCTTCAATTCTTCGATTTTTCGACTTCGCTTTATTGGTTTGTCGATTTCTCAATTTTTGGATATTTCTTTCAGTTTTGATATTTTTCAATACTTCGATTCTTTCATTTTTCGACCTCTAGATTTTTCTATTTTTTATTTTTGGATTTTCAGTTTTTTGTTTTTTATTTCAATTTCTCAATTTTTCAACTTTTTCATATTTTAATTTTTAAATTTCTAGATTTTTCAGTTTCTCGAGTTTCCAGTTCTATATTTTAATTTTTTAAATTTACGAATGTTTAAATTTTTTGAGATCTCAATTCATTGAGATTCAGATGTTTCGAAGTTTTGATTATTCAATCTCTCGTTTTATCAATTTTTCCATATTTAAGTTTTCCATTTTTCGATTTTGGCCTACTTCGGTTTCTCAATTTTTTGATTTTTCGACTTCTCGATTTTTGACTCCTCGATTTTTTTTGTCTTTTGATTTTTCGATTTCTCGATGTCTCAATTTTTGAATTTTACAATGTTTCGATTTTTCGATTTGTTGGTTTTTCGATTTTTTGCTTTTCGGTTTCTCAATTTTTCGATGTTTCGATTTTTGATTTATCCGATTTTTCAATTGTCCAATTTTTTAAATTCTCGACTTCTCGATTCGTTGATTTTTCAGTTTTTCGATTATTAAATTTTAGATTTTTATTTTTATTAATTTTTTTTGATTTTTTGATGTTTGGATTTCTCCATTTTTCAGTTTTAGGATATTTTAACTTTTCAATGTTTTAAATTTTAGATTTTTCGATTTTTTAGTTCTTCAATATTTTTTTATTTTTCAAATTTTGACGTTTCTGAATTTTTAGTTTTCGGATTTCTCAATTAATCTATTTTTTTATATTCCCATTTCTCCACTTCCTAAAGTTTCGATTTTTCAGTTCTTCAGTTCTTCAATTTTTCGATTACTCAGGTTTTTGATTTTTGCAATTTTTCGATTTTTTAAGTTTGCGATTTTTAGACTCTGCTTTTTTCACTTTTCTGTTTCCCAATTTTTTAATTTCTTAATTTTTTTTATATTTCGTTCAATTTTGTGATTTTTCAGTTTTTCGATTGCTCAATTTTAACTATTGAATTTTTGAAATTATTAATTTTTTACGATTTTTTGAGTTTTCACTTCTCTATATTTCAATTTTTCAATTTTCGGAATTTTTAAATTTTCGATTGTCCAATTTTTTTTTTATTTTTCGATTTTCAAATTTTTCGATGTTTCGATTTTTGAATTAACCGATTGTTCAATTTCTCGATTTTTAAATTTTAGATTTTCGATTTTTTTATGTT